TTTTTGTGGAACTATATAATATATTTTATAATTTAAACTGATTATCGTAAATATTTCAACTTTTCGCATTAATGCTAACAAGCGATTTTTACGTAAGAATATTTATGCAATATTTCCATCGAGTGTCTATTTGACATGCAAACTAAAATCATGCATAAGAAAAGCATCGGAAAACGTGATATGCTCGATCATGTTCGTCATAAAGAGACTTTGACCGCATATAACACAAAGACATAATGATAATAAAAATAAAAAACCACGGAAACGCGTGGAATCTCAAAGTTCGAATGTCAACAGCGTCGAATTATGTTCATTGCTTTTACCATTTGCTATGCAAATGAGAATTTTAAAGTTGTTCGTAAAAAGAAAAGAATAAGTCGACATTATTTTCGCGGAAGTTTCGTCAGATTAATATATATGTACTAAAATCTTGACATCCATAATTAACTCTTTATAAAAATCGCTCTAATGAATATTATAATTCATGTCATTGATATGTTAAACTTATCATTATCATTTTATCGTACAATACACGATAATTCCTAACTCGAAATCAAAGCTTTCGATAAGAAATCTTTTCACAATCGTGGCCTCATATTTAATCCTACACGCGAGACAATTCCATTTAACATATGGTATTATTTTTTTTTCTTTAACTAATATATCTCGTAAATATATGTATATAATTAATTTCATTAATAAACGTTTAAATATGCAATTTTATTAGAATCTATTTTCATTGCAAATTTTTGAAAAGAGCATTATCACATTTTCAAGAAATTACTAAGAAATGCCAGTCATATTCTAAATTAAAGCAATTTTAAAATTTACAAAGGACATATATTATGATACACATCACAAAAAAGTATAGTTATCGTTATCAAAAGCTCACGAGAAATAATAATCTTATGCTTGACGAGTAAATAACAATGTCGCTGATAAATATATGATGTGTGTAAGTATCCGATTCATCATCAGATTGTCACTCATTGCATTCCGAACTTTTGTGAAGAAATTCCGATAGTGAGAGAATATAAAAGAATAGGAGGGAAATAGAGTAATAGCGATTGTGAGTCGGCGATAGGATGTGAAAGGTGCAGTTCATGCAACTGCAGTGGACCGAAGAGATGTTGACACTGATTGGTGGTCTGATCGTCGCCTATTTCGTCTATGTTCTGATCATAAGGAAAAATGGTAAATATCTGCGCTAAATGTTTTAATTTACTTTTCTCGAGTATATTCGAATCAGAATATATTCAAATAAATTCTATATATTTTACTATGGCTATATATTATCAAGTTAGTATTTATACATACACACATACAGTATACTTATATATGTATGTGTGTACATATAATTTTAATTAATGTCAAAGATATAATAAGAAATTGGAGTCGAATTAAAAAGCAAGTTTAAATAGTGTAATTGATGAGTAGAAACTATTACAACGAATTTTGAATTATTTATAGTAATCAATATTGTTCATAGGTGTGCATATATTTGATCAATTTTTATCGTAAAATATCGTTTTATCAATATTTGTTACAATGGACATGCCTCATTGGTATACTATAATCTTCGACGCAAAAAACTTTGACTTATCTTCTTATCTCTAAGCAATTCGACGTAGATAGATGGATAATTGTAATGATCATCACTTCTTGCAATATAATAAAGTATTATTATAATAATATATATAAAAAGTATTATTATATATAGAAGTTTTTAGCAATTTAAATATCAATATAGATAGTATGGAAACAAAAATATGTTATCTTTCTTTTTGTTCAACAAATTTTTGCAAGTCCGGTTTTATTTTGTATATGTTTAACTATTTCTCTATTCATTTATTATGTCTATATATTTATATTTTTCCTAACAAGTGATGATCAAATAGTGAAAAAAATATAGCAAAAATATTTAATATATAATATACCACACACATTTCCATTTTTTATACATGTTTAATTTTATATTATATTTAATATTTTAATATATTATAGTTCTTATCTTTCTTCTAACTCCCTATTATTTCCCACTGAGCATATCTAGATGTATAAATTTTTTTCTCATTCACTGTACATCGACGATTTCAAACTTTCGCACGAAAATGTGTTCATGCGGCGCACATTCTCGCGAGAGATATCGTCGTTCTTTCTCCGCGCAAAACTGGTCCAGTAACCTCTTCTCGAAATCATTGAGCGCGATAGATCATTTATAACGTCGCGATCGAAGAAAAACGAAAAAAAGGAAATGCCTTGGTGCAACGGTTTTATGATTTCCGTTATTCGGATTTTTGCCCGAGAAGTTCGTGCTATATTAAAGTATCGCTACTGAATGAACATTGAATTTCTCCGCGAGGAATGAATTTCTCACATAAAACACGCTCGTTATCGTGTCTCAGAATTTATTCATCAAATTATTCACATATAAATGGGAAAGAATCTATCTGTAAACCAAATGTTATTTTATAGAGTATTGTTTCTCAATAGTGTGATAATTGACGTTACATCGTGAGAAAGTCGATGGAGACTGTTGAATTCTTTAAATTCGATGCTCGTAAAAGAAATTGTATGGTAAACTAATGTGCTTAAATACAGTTAGGTGAAAATATTCAGCCAAAGTAAACTTGTAATACAAGTAATAGTAAACAAGTTGTATATGGAAAATCAGCATAAAAATCAATAAATTATAAATTTATGCAGAATCCTAAATCTTATATAAGTCTCTAATTAACAATTTTAATTAACGTTCAACTGTCATGAGTCAATGATTAATGACGATCTTGACGAAAATTACTTTGATAATTTTTTTTTTCTACAAATTTGACATTAAGTCGCAGTCACACGAATAATGACATCGATCAAGCCTTAGTTTCCTCATTCGACCGGTCATAATATAATAAAAAATTTAAATATCCTATAATTAATTTTGCATGATGATTGTTTTTTTTTTTATATCGCGTACTGGAATACACTGTAAAAAAATATGTAAAATTACATAAAAAAATAAAGTGTAAAATTGCACGATAAATAATGAAAATGTATATACATTTTACACTTGTAATTTTACATATTTTAATGTAATGTATTACATATTTTTTTTACAGTGTATAATCGTTTAATATAATTTCTTCGCACGTGGAAAGCAAAAGATCGATCGAAGGCCGGTGACAATGTCACTGGTTTTATCATCATTAATGGATGTCAAGAAGACAACTTTGCGTGCTGAAGTAATCATTCTTACACATACCTGTTAATAATACACACGACTAATGTTTAAGGCGGCCGTCGTCGTCTCGCGCGCGAAATACTTGTAGTCGACCTTCACCTTCTACAGCGTGAGATCAAGGCTGGATGGTCTCGGGAAGGTAGATCTCTGGATCGATTATGCGTATACAAGAAGCGTCTGTGTGATTCACGACGTACCGAATGTCTGTGTGATTCACAACTGGATGGAAAGAGAAAGAGAGAAAAAAGAGGGGAAAGAAAGGGTCACCTCGCGCATAGTTAACACGCAACGTGTTTATTTACAAGTTGTTCGACGTATCCTTGGAAGGATTATTAGAGTCCTCTATCATTTATGTATGTATATATACATACATAATATGACAGTATCGAGGCCAATAATACGCGCTTCTTTTCAATAAAAAATGCCTCAATTAATCTGGATCTTATCTTACCGAAAATATTTTAGGAAGAGATTTTTATCTGGAATTTTATCTCATGTGAAAACTTAAAAAATATATAAGTATTCGAGAATAATTGAAGATCACTAGAATATTCCTGTTTTTGACAGTATTGAAAGAAATAATTTCGAGAATCCTAGTAATTATTCTTAATATTCGAGGCAGTAAAAACAAAATTGAAGATGATTAGAAAGACGATTTTCCTAATAATAATTTTCAATTTTCGAATAAAAAATTAAAAAGATTTTTAAAATTTGTGAAAGTACTTTTCTCTCATTTTCATTCCGGGGACTAACAAGTTAAAAGTACATTAGTACATCGTAAATGGTCATTTATTTAAACCAAGCAATAAGTGTACAGTTTAGAATACAGATTATTCAGAAAATGGAAGATGGGTGAAAATGCGAAGAGGAGTAAAAATTACGGCCGCAAACGTGACTGCCAATAAAAGAGCCTACCTTGAGAGTTTCCCGCGGAAAGAGTTCAGGAGGTCGGCGAATTTCACCTGCGCGACGCGTGATCCACGCGTCGGGCAGAGATGAAACGCAAAAGGAAGATGCAGAGAGAGAGAGAGAGAGAGAGGGAGAAACGAGATGAAGTCGCGAGAAAGGAATCGTCGAGGAAAGGAGTGGTCTCGCGCGAGTAGATATATATGTACATCGTCGGCAAGGTCGTGTCGGAGAAATTACGAGGGAGATAGGATGTAGCAGCGCGGTGATATTTGCGACATGCTGCCGGTCGTAACTACATATCGCCGTTATCTCGTCATGGCTCGATCAAGCCGAAGAAAGTTGCGGCCGGCCGTGCCGATGCCGACGAACTGTCCGACAGTCGCCTGCAACTTTCCGTAGAAACCGCGATCGATCCATGGGATCGTCAATCGACCGCGAATCAATATGATAGTGGAGTCGTGGATATGATATCAAAGAATTTTTTCAAGAGTTAGAAAATTGTACATTTTTTTTCTCCGTTAAACGAGAATTTCTTGTCTCTTGATGTAGACAGCGTTTTGCTTGTTCTTTATTTAATAATGAGTGTTTTTAATATGATAAGAATGTAATCCGTTAAATTGTCAAAATGGAAAAAGCATGACCTACATCGCTCTGTTTCCAAAGTCTGTGACTAATTCATCGAAATTGGTGCGTTCTGATAGAATTAAAAAGAATTTATATATAATTTTAGTTTTTATTATAATAACGAGATTTGATATGTGTACAAAAAAAAAGCAATATGCGATATTCGAATTTAATGAAATCAAAAATTAAGATATTTTTATATCACATTCATAATAATTTTTATTTGATGTTTTAGATAATCCATCTATGGATCCGCCAGCTACGGCGCATGCAGCTCTTAAAGAGATCGTCGAGAAAGCTGTCGAGGAAGCTCGGAAGTTACCGGGATTGGGTTCATCTACGAATACCGAACATCCTCGAGAAGATCGTTCAATCGCTGATCACAGTTACGAGGATCTTCTCGCCACCGCAATACTCAATAAGGTTACTTAGATATGATATTTTATCAATAAATATATATATTTTTAACAATTAATTATAAGAAAAATTAAAATCCGGATTATATAATTTCTTAATTATGAAATAAAGCCTGTATTTTTTAAAATCAATTATTACGTAATGAAACGCGTCTTATATTTTTTTTATACAAATATTGTCAATTGTAAAGTACGTTTACATTGTGATTCATGAGAGAAAGGATATTTTCCCACCCAATAAATAGAATATTAAAATCGTAATATTATATTATAAGAAAAATTAAAATCCGGATTACATAATTTCTTAATTATCAAATAAAGCCTGCATCATATTTTTTCTTAAATCAATTATTACGTAATGAAAGGCGTCTTATATTTTTTATACAAATATTGCCAATTGTAAAGTACGTTTACATTCTTAGAGTGAATCATGAGAGAAAGAATATTTTCCCACCCAAATAAATATATATAAGAATATATAAATAAATAAGAATATTAAAATCGTAATATTAATTATTATTGATTAAAGTGTACGGTGCAACTTTTTATATTAAATATGATAAAATCCACGGTGCGCATTTTAGGTCGTCGAAAAATTCCAAAGAGAACGAGTGGACGGCAACAGCAATGTGCTACATGACACAGATTTGCCTAAGGCAAAATATACTACGAGTACGTAGAATTTGCTTAACATTTTATCGCGCATAAAGTATGGGACGTCATATTTACGGAGACGGTGTTCCTCTTTCAGCTGAGAGCGAACATGGCCTTGAGGAAAATGCAGTGAGCTGCGAGTCTTATCATCGCGAATGCAACGGTAATCGTAGCACTTCGATCAGACGAAATGGAGAACCGGTGTCTTTTATGGTACGTATAATACATCGTGATTACGATCGCATTTACATATTTCTACGTATAGCGAAATGCGGAACGTAACATTCCCAGGACGCGATAAAAGATTAACGTAAGATTATCCGTATATCAAATTTTAAGTCTTCGCACGATGATTTATAATGCAACAATATGATCGATATATAATAAAATATATTGTTATATCATATTATATCTGAAAAAAGAGAGCGAGAGAGAAACCGAATCTCTTTTATTGCAGATGGAAGAACAGATAGAAGAGGTAACTACGATCACGTCGGATGATGATGAATTTCGAGGCAACGACATCGTGGAATTCGAATGCACCCGGCGCGTTCCATTCCCGGAACTCGGAATGGATATCATTGATCGTTAGTATCCCAATTAAAATATTATTTACGTATACAAAAATATACGAAATTATCTATAGAATAAAGTGTGTACGGCTATATTTATATACTTTCAAATTAATTTAATAAAATCATATACTTACAATTGAAAAAGAACTTTTTCGAACAATCGTCCAATTCGTTTTTAATATTTTTTTTAAATATAAATTATAAATTTCTAGCATAAAAAATACAAAATACAATTTTATTACGAATTATAAAAGCGTTTATTTTTTTTTATAAATAGCTCCGCGAGAGTTGTCGCCATCGCCATTATCATCATCAGATTCTTCAGATTTAGATTGCAATGAATATTCGCCGGCCAGAACAAAACGTCATGTCGCTGATCGCGCGATGGACCTAATTTCGCCTGTCGAATCCTGGGAGGATAATTGGCTATTCCAAAAGAAAAAAACTTCTCGAACACAACCGGATGCGGTATCCATGTTGGTACCGAGTTCTAATGCGTATTATAAAGCTCTGATCGGCGACAGGGATGCTGAGGACACGTCAGATTTATCCGAGTGTTCCTCCACGAAATCCGATGAGGAGATCGAGAAGGAACTGATGGAAGCTATTAACAACGTGGTCCCGAGGACTCCTAGGACGTCCGAATGCGATGCGAAAAATAATTCAGAAGTGCCAAATGTCGCGACGCAATTTGGAAATGACGAAATCGGCGTCTGTCAGGCGAAAACCAAAATTGAAAATTTGTCTAAAAATGTTTGCGAGCGTTTCGATGAGAAAATTAATGAAAAATTATTGAGATCTTCGGAAATCTCGGAAAAGAAAATAATCAAGGATGAAAGTGATAAAGAGAAACTAAGTGAAAGTTCCTTTACGTTGATAACGGTAGCAAAAGGAGAAGATAAAGCCAAAGAGAAACCTAAGGATACAACCGATTGCGGCGAAAGGATAATCCTGGTGGAAAGTTCTGCAGGAAAAAACGCAAACACGCAAGTTGAAAAATCGAGCGAGAGAAACGATCGATCGGGAAATGTCGCCGACGAAAACGAAGAACGAGAAAGTGAGTACACTGAACACTACGACACGGCGATCCAGAGGCATTTAGACAGTCTGACGAAAGTCGAAGTTTGCTCTGGAGAGAATGAGATGACTGAAACGTGCAATACAATGAACGAACAATTCACAGAATTGAAAAATGGCTCGATCGAAGAACAAGAAAGGTAGGATTTTCTTTCTAAGCATTAACTATAATTCATAATATTCAGATTATAATTTCATCGGCAGATAAATTGAATAAAATTATATATTTTTAAATTTTTTATAAATTAAATTTGCATATTTGAATGTATATTTCTTTATTATATTGTGTGTTTTTCGTCAATTTTATTTTTGATCTTTTTGGTTTTTTATATTCATTATTTGCAAGAATACAATAAGTATGAATAAAATAAATCTTTGTTTCAAAATGAATATGTATTGTAATAAGCAATAATGATAGTTCGGTTTCCTATATAACTCGGTGTATTGCATAAAAATTTCGTATTCTTACTACGTAATTATTCTCATCATTCCACCGCGACACGTTGTATTTCTTTCGTAATTCTTTTTCTCTTATACAGTGAACGCTCACAAACCAAAGTCCAATTATCTTATGTAACGACTGATGAAAATCACATCGGTATGACGACTGAAAACGACCGATTAAGCGCCCCACCACGTCCAGGTAACTTTAATTATTCATAATTTTATATAATATATAATAAACTTACACGTATTATATGCAATATATATCTATAAAATCATAGACAACACGATTTAATACTTTGAATTATACCTATATTAAATTTAGAAAAAATATTTTTTAATATAATAGAATTATTCTTTTCTTGATATAAAATTCTAGAAAAGAATAATGTATTACTATAAATATTAAATACAAATTTTTGTTGTAGAAGAAGAAAGAAAAATATAATGCAGAAATTACTGTAATTGATAAAAATTAAAATCAAACATATATAAAATTTTATTTTTTTTAATGTTATAAGAAATTATGTCATAAATATAGAAGTACCTACTGTATTAATTGTAATTATGCTTTTTTTTAAAGTATATATATGAAAAAATAAAGTTTTAGTAAATTTAAAAAATATTTTCGATATATTATCCTGCGATATAAAAATCATTCAAAATATTGTTCTGCAATAAACGCGAAAAAATCACTAATGTGAATACTTGCATTATAATAAACTTGTCACAAATCTAACATAATAATGAATATATTACAGGCACAATAGCGGAACGCGAGCACAAAAAATGGGAAAATGCGCCACCGATCGAAAATAATCCTTATAGCGAAGAGAGCATACGAAAACGATGCTTGGAAAGACAATATTCAAAAAATTCGGATATTCCAGGGTAAGAATCGCGTGAGAATGATTATCAATATCATAGTCGCAAAGCCTTCAGCTTGATCTCTTGTTTTGTTTAGAGTTCACTATGACTTAACGAAGTTAAACGAAGTGAATTTGGAAGCGCTTTTGGCACCTGACCGACCGGATATTAAACGGTAACTTTCATTAATTTCTTCTCTCGAAATAATGAATATAATAATTATAAGATGCATAAAGAAAAATTTATATATACTCTGAATTTCCTTTTATATTTTTTCTCTTCTTTATATAAGAACTTTAAAAAGTGCAAATATTGCAATTTGCTTGAGAAAAGAAAATTCGATCAAATAATTTTTTTTCAACAAATTCACTTGCGCTGGTTTTCGATTAAAATTATTCAAAATATTAATTGAATTAAAAATAAACGAAAATTGAAATATGATTTTGTTGCTATCGATATTATTGATCATTACACAGATTCGGCAGGGACTACTATATCAATCAGTCGAAAGCGGCCAGCGGAGAGCAACAGGAGCAGGCTATTAAGTCGACGATGTCCTCGGTGTCGAGCAGACCGAGCAGCTCGCTGTCTCAGCGATCGAGCTGTACCGGCGACGAGCAACGCGAACAACAGGTGAGTCACCACAAGCTCGAGCAATTCGAGGCCGCCTCGCTGCGCGATAGTCTCCCTAGACAACGCTGCCGTGATCCCCTTGCCAGTGCGCATTTCGCGATCAACCCCCTCTTGCATCTGAAGCTCACAAACGATCGATTACGCCACGATGACGACAATGAACGAATCAAGAATGTCACAGAGAACGATCGCGTAGACAGGGAAAATATGACCGAAGACACGAGAGGTGACCGAGGATTTACAAATTTTGGAGATACGGATCTAGAAGCAATAATTGACAAGGATGACAACTACGTTGTAGAAGAGAACTTGGAGATCGATACGAATTTTGAGAAATTAATATCGACGGATCAATTTTGGAGCGATGGAAATGCCGATCACGAGGTTGAAGAACCTATAGTACCGCGATACGATGCTAATCGTGGAGGTTTACCGGACACTCGCGATCTGGGCGATCACGATTCTGGGATCGGTTCGCGCGATTCGGTCATCAGTGATCGGAATCGCTGGCGACGATTGTATCGAATGGCAGATAACAGCAAGGGTGAACAGATCTCGTCGATTGGTGGCAGGAGATTCTGGACCACCGGCGGATATAAGTATCACACGTTCGGCGGTATCAAAATTCGACTGAGGAAAAGAGAGGACCTCGACGATCTTGAAGACGAATCGACTTCGCTGCCGGAGGAACAGTTCGCGGATTGTCCACCGGAGTTCGCGAAATTAAAGTTTCAGACTTTTGGCGGGATCAAAAGGAGTCGAAAGATCGATGGAAGCAAAATTCCGAATTACAGAAGGATCCGATTGAGGCCGATTCTGTTGGAAGCTGCATCTGCCGTTCCTGACGCTGACAAAAATCGCGATCGAATTGTAACGGGAAAGTCGACGAACTTTGAATTGTATTCTAACATTGATCATTTAGGAAATTTCGATCATTTAGCAAACTTAAATCGTTCCACAAGTTGCTCCACGAGTTTCGAGGGACTAGCTAGCTTCGAGGATTCTACGAATTCGACTTTGGAGGAGAGCGATTGGCAGGACGAACAGGACGAGATCGCGAACGATCGAGTTTCAGCTGTACGCGATGTTGGCAGAAATCGAACGAGCTTCAAAACAAGTTATGCGCCGAAATACAGGAATCCAATTCGTAAAAGAAACGTAAATTCGTCCTCTCTCTTGTCCTTAGAAAACGAGGACGACGAATGGCAGGACGAGATCGATTCTATTTCTAATGAGAGTATAATGAACAAATTCCTAAATGATATCTCGAAGAGGCGAAAAATTGACGCGTTCAGTGACGACAATGTTGCAAGACGAGGAAGAGAAACACGATCTCGGAGGCATCGGGAAATCTTGGAGGACGACAATAGCAGAAAGTTGGACAAATTGATAAACAGAAACACTAGGAAGAGCCTGGATAACTCGAAGAAACTTCGGCGAATGCAAGAACAGAAGGGCGATGATAGGAGAAGAAAGTTGGATGTGACAAGTTTGAGTGACGTCACGATATGGTAATGATTACGAATGGAATAAGTATCAATTTATAAAAATGTGCAGGATATATCACGTTAATAATTATAGCGTGATGAAGAAATATCGTGTCATAAGAGTAATCCTAAATATTTTTGCCATGTCATATATTAAAACGTCAAAACACTTTTTACTATAGTAATTTATAAAGAAATATACTTCAAGATGAGTTCGTATACAGGATAAAATAAAGAATTAATAAAGAATATTGCGAGATTTTCGACGACGCAAATATTGAATATTCAGAATGCGAGCTTCCGTGTGAATTCCCGGATGCAATCAAGATAACGATTGTAAAGATTAATTGTTACAATATTATATAATTGATTTCTTTTTCTTGATGAAAAATAACATATCTGAGAAAATGCATTTATATTAGTGCCGTAATTTTGTGGCCATATTGATAAAAGTGCCATGGCGCGATGCGCTATAATTATAAATGAGTGCAATAATTATACAAAATTAATAAGTTATTTATATGGTGATGAGTTGCAAGTGGTAAATAAATACGGGTGTAAAATAAGAGACATATATCACAATAATGCTGATTCTCCTCTTCCTTCACAACTATAACTATACTTCGTTTTATAAATTGTTCTTTTGAAACGTTAAAAGTAGAATTAAGTAATTTCTTGCATGTTAATTCTTAATAATTCCTAATAATTTAACCCAAGATCAAAATTAATAGAGAATGGCACATATATGGCAGATAAATATAAAATTACTATACATATACTTAGAATCTTGTTAAAATATGTCTAAAAAAATGATACAGAATAAATTAAAATAAAAATATTTAAAAAATTGGTAAAATTTTTAAGATTATCTATGTAATAACATAAACATCAACATAACATTTTGTACGTATATATGTATGTATGTATGTATATATTCTCTATATTTTATATTGATACAAAAATTTTAATTAATTATCTAATTTAATTAACCAGATGACAAATTGATCTTACTTTTTGACCACAAACTTACAGGTGACGGTTGCTGTTATTAATTTTAGCATGTATCAATTATTGCAGAAGTTTGCGTAATTTTGTTTGAATTTTATCTGGTGATATCAATTAAAGCATATTTACATATTTAATATTTTACACATATTATATTAAATTTTAAAATAACGTCACATACAATTTGTATATCGCTATCAATTTCTGACATTAAAAAAATATTTGTTTATAAAATCACGATCAATATATATTAATTGCAAATTTTACATTATAATTTCACAATTTTGACAATATTAGAATGATTGTAGATATGAATTTATCATTTTAGAAAGAATTATAACAAAACTTGCAAACCTCTGTATCAGAAAAAAATTCTGGAAACAATAATTATGTTATATAATCCGTAGTTGATTCGACGATACAAAATAAATTTGCATGTTTAGTGTGCTATACTTTTTGAAATACACAATTGAATACACAATTGAAAAAATATCCATATAAAAGCATTTTAAGATTAAACAAAAGATTATTTATATAATGCATTGTTAATTATTTATATGATACATTAAGCATTAATCATAACATATATTGATTATAAATTTTATTTTTGTCAATTTTTCTTAAAAATAAATATGAATATCTTCAAGACATATTTTTAATTTTTGTATCAATATATGAGTTTATTTATCATTCTTAAATGCGTCCATCGCGATTATAAAATTTATATAAAGAGAATATAATCTTTGTTATCTACCTATCTACAATGCAATCTGATAAAATGTTCGTGTAAACATGGCGGAATCAATTCCGCATCTGAACTACAAAAAGTATGTACTTTAATTGGTAAGTACTATCTACTTTTACATACATATGTACAATGTGGTGATTAACAAATAAATGTATTAATATACTTTGTAAAGCAAACAATAAATATAAATTTTGTTATTATTTTGTTATTATTCTGCAATTATAATTTAACAATTATATTGTTTATATTTATATGTATCTACTAATTCCTTTATATCTATGCTAACTATAATCATACTGCAAAACTTTCTTCCTGTCAAAAGAATGCTTTATAAATTATCCACGGAACCTCAGCATCGTTCATACTGACATACTAACATTATCAGAGATCAATATTATTAATGATATTAATGATATTAATATATATTTACGCGTAATCATAACATTCTATTATCAATATTTTCATCATAAAGATTATATATTGCTATATATTAGCAATAGTATTAATCACATACAAAAGCTTATCGCTTTTATCGCATGAGTATGTTTATGGATTATTAATCCAAATAGCTATTTTTAATTTGCAAAAACAAATGCAAATAACTTTTACTTAAAATATATTGATCTTTAAAACAAATTGCATAATTGTGCACAATTTGCGTTTAAAAACTCAAACTTGCAAATAAAAAATTAAAATGTAGTACTCTCGAATGATAAATTGTTACATTTTTTTCTAGACTTCAAAAGTTTAAAAATTGTCACAAAATCTATTCAAATCTAGAAGTTAAATTTGTATATCACTATCAATTTCTGTCATTAAAAAAATATTTGTTTATAAAATCACGATCAATATATATTAATCGTAAATTTAAGCGTTCATACGATTAATAATTATTATACATATATAAATCAGCACTTTTTCAAATGTCGATGATGTACAGATCACATACTATGATATTAATGCTAAGAATTTTTGTTGTTATAACAATTGTAAATATAAATAGTGTGTGTATATATATAGTATTACATTATCAATATCATTACTTCGTTAAATATTAAATGCGTGCTGTTGAATATCATTACTATAGATAATAATATTAATCGTATAATAGCTCTACGAAAGAGAAGTGAAACAAAGAGACAAGAATATTATTATTCGTAGCGTGTAAAAATAAATAAAAAAAAATGACAGAAATTCAGAACACACAATTATGAAATGCACAGCTTTCGAATAAATTCATTAGCGCGAGGTAATTAAAATTAGCCAATTCTTCGTGTGTTCCAGGAAGAATCCACGACAACCAAAGAAATCGACGATATTTCGGTCTTGCGAGAAAACGATTTAAGAGCAATGAAGGAATTGTGTCGCAGGAATAATAATGCCGAGGTAATTAATCTCGAAACAAATAATCGCGTCGTGAATTCGTGTACTTCGATGGTCGGTACCGATGACGACCAAAAAATCAAAAGCGAGAAGGACGCGGCTGACGAGATAACATGGAAGGATCGTCAACGAACGGATAACATCTTAGAGGATCGGAGGAAAAACAGCAAAAACGAAATCAATGCCAAACTGAACAATCAGGAGCATAGTTTGGAGACCGAGTGCATGAATGACAAGGAGCGGAAGGTTCGCAGGATCGATCTGAAGGCATATGGCTTTGAAAACGAATTCACGGATCAACAAAAAATTATCCGGCAAGAGAGAGTGGTCAATAAATTGGATTTGACGTCCTTCGGCTACCAGAACGGCCTGCATCGCACTTGCTCCAATAATCAACTGGATCAACCGTTGCGAAACAATGAGAAATCGAACTTGACAAGACGCACGATCGACTGTCGTGGATTTAAAGGATATTTGATCGATGCGCCGAATTCACTCGGTGGTAAAGATTTCGCGAAGAGCTCGAGAGATCTCAACAAGATACGGGATAAAGTTGAGGAGGTAGGTTTGGGATTGATATCGGTCAAGTCAATGCCGAACGTTGCTGATGAAATGTATTATCATGCAAATCCGATTCGCGTAAACGAGAGAGAAGATCAGCAGAACGAATTGACTGCCAGGAATTTGCTGGATCGCGCAATCGATAAATCGGAGGGAGAAACAACGGTGGATGAACGCGATGCGATTGTTAACGAAGACGATTCGTCGCTGAATGATTACGATGAAATTTCTTCTGACGTGGATAGATCTTTCGAGGATATATATATCGGAAACAGAGAACAATCTCAAGAAATGAAAAGAAAGTGGCAGACGATGCCCTCGGTGAAAAGGCTCGCGGAAGCGTTTGGCAGACGACAAATTTCCAAAACAGAGACTACCGTGCTAGAGAAAGTAAACAGAGCGGTAACTAATGAAAGCCTCTTCACACTTCAATTCAATTTCATTTAGATCTTAGATTTCAATTTGAGCTCGATAGCTTTGATATGCTAAAGAACATTCAAAGCAAGAATAAAATAAGTTCATAATTTATAAAAATAAATGAAGTCTAGATAGATACATAAATATACAAAAATAGATTAATTTTGGAGATTGAAAAAAAGGTAAAATATTTTATAATTTTATAGAAAAATTTACGTAAATTCAATAAAATATGGGGATTCGAATTTAAAAAGAATTTACAAATTATATTATCTGACTAATAACTCACTATTTATCACATGACAAATTTATCACTCATGTAAAATAATCATATTAACTTAAAAATTATATTTAGAAATTTTTTAATTTTTATATAAAAATTTTATATTTAAAATTTTTTAAATTGATACATCATTTTTTTAATAAACATCATGCCAAATCATCCTATACGCTAATAATTTGAATATTCTATCAATTTTATGCATTTCTATCTCACAGGTGGCAAAGATAGATGATATCAAGGATAGATCGTACACACCCGAAATACAGATAGTCGAGCCGCCAAGGCAGATGCACAGTTTGACAGCCAGATCTCTTTCGAGAGAATTTCGAGAAGGACTTCGTCAAATGCCTAATAAAATTTCCTCGCCACCGGTCAGCCGATCACTGATAGAAGAGCGATCAACGAATCGAACGGAAATTGTACGATCAAAACGAGAGGACGACACTGCCGTAATCTCGCCCGACAAGTTCAAATCGAACATTATATTTTGGGAGCAAATGCAAAAAAGAAGTTAAACATAGCATGTCCCTCCCCATTTGCTAATGATAAAGAGTTATAAAATAAAAAGTTAAACGCAATCATAATGAGATCGAGTTTTTGTACATATGTAAGAATAGAAAGTGTGAAATTGTGCAAGTTAGAATGACTGGAACAGCAATTAATTTTGTATATTTATAAATAATTTCGTATATGTATGATTATGCATATTTCCGAGCACGCAATTGTGGAAATATAATATACAATTATGACATAGAAAATCGAATCAATCACTATACTGCAAGAATATAATATTCATAAAAGAAACCAATTTGTACTTACTTTGTGAGTTATAAAAGTTGCTGGCGTTGCTATCCTTACATAAGCATAAGGATATATTAAACCGTCTACATTATAATAGTCTCTAACTGTTATAGATTTACTTATCAAATATTATATGTAAACATGATAAAATGTACAAGTCTTTTGATGTTGATAAGAGCTTTGCGTAAAATGATTAAATTTATGTCAAACAAAGTCGCAACACATTAATAGTTAAAGAGAGCATTCCAATATTAGTATTCATTCTCGATGAGAAATTAAATTTTAATAAAAATTATTAAATAAAAAATATGTAGTATTTTAATTAAGTTTAACAATACAAAATATCCTACGCTCTTCATAAATTTTTGATTGTAGAAATGTCGATAAGAAATTATCAACATAAACAAGTATATCTACACTTGTAATATATTTTATATATTTATATATGCAAGATACTTGACTTATGCGACACAAGTAAAAAATGTGCAATGTATATGATCTCCTTATTGCAACTACATATCTTTCGCGAAATTAATAGTTTAAATTCAATATCCATAATGTGATTATATCCACAAAAATTGTGGATGCAAAATTATTTATAATTTGTTATATGAAAAGATACTTAATGTATACTTAATGCATAGAAATGTTTCTCTTGCAAAGAATAATTCAGAATGATACAATAAAATGCACGATGAAGTCTTTAAACAGAAATAAATAATTTTACATAATAGTATTACTTTTCTGATGAAAGATGGAAAAGAAGCTAATAAAAAATAGTGCATTACATCCACTAAAATATATAAAATAAGGAAACATAAAATACAAAGTCACTACTTTTCATTTTAAATTTTAATATAAACTACTGTTCTAAATAATAATTTGATCCAAGAGTTAGACAATAAAATGCAATTTGGAAAATAAAATATATTGCAAACACGAATCATAATAAAGTAAAATAATATATAAGAATTGATCAATAGGTTCTATCTGTCGCATAGAAAAAAAGCTATGAAAAAGGTCCATTACGATATGGATCAACAAAGACATTTAATATACTATTAACTATGTTATAATGATTATCTCTTTAAATCCTCTTTTCTTAACAAAGAGATATTGAAATATCTAGATTAGTGATATCTTGTAAAAAAGCGTGATAGTTAAATTATGTTAACCGAACTTCCAAGTATCGTGACATTAATACAATGCTATAAAATGACGGTATTTAAAAATATTTAAAATTCTGAGAAACATTTCTAACTAAATAAGAATTGTACTCACAACAAGGATTCTCTTGAAAGCATGCTGTCGAATTTCTCAATAGCTCCATTAATTGTCCACTGCTTAGCCTTTGGAATCCAGAGTGAAAATATTAATGTTGCGGCACAAATAGCCACCCCACTGCTCTGCTGTCAAATCGATATGGACCATCATGTTGATATCCCATAAGACGTAAGACTTCAGGCAAGTTCTTGCTGTTTCGGATTACATATAGTGTAACATCTACACAAATCAAATAAAACATTTTATGTAGTAAAACATTTTTGGTATAGAAACTCAAATAAAGAGCTAATTTAACTACCTAATTTTCAAATATTATATATATATTATTCATAACAACAAGAAAAAAGATAAAATTACCAATTTCTTTGCAATATTTGTGTGATTTGACTCATTATTTAACTCATAGATGCACATATTTATTATTGTATACAAAATGTCACGCAACTCATGATACAACATAAAAATTGTACAAGAGGAAATGAGATAAACATACAATAATAAAAGTATACATTAATAAACTGATTTGATAAGATTTGTACATGTAAGAAAATCAATATTGAACATTGCAAATAGAGATGTTATTTCTTTCCTTATGCTCCTGATTTTCTTATTCAAAATCCGTCACTGAGAATCTCTCACTTATTTATCAAGATCATTGTCAAATAAAATTTATTAATCGTAATTTTACATTTTTATAATTTCTTGTAGCTTTAATTCTCGAAATGAGATTACATCACAATATAAGAATTAATTAACTTTCGAAACGGCGCGCTTAAAAAATCTAACCTAACTTTATTGAATCTACGATTTTTTCTTGATATTCGCAAAAAATGTCTCATTTCATATAACTTCTCGAAGAAAATAAGAGATCTCACCTTCTACACGAATGTCTTCACGTCTATTGCATTCATAAACACGTCTTTTGCGCATTTTCGACGACGATATCTGCCCAAACACTGTACCGCGACGCTTCCATCAACACACTGATTTTGCCGGTCTTTTCAAAAATTCAAAATCTGTAATTACTTCAGATATCTCGTTTGTATCAATAAATTGAAATTTAGATTTTCTCTCAAAGTGTTGCCATATATTAGTGACTTAGAGATTTAATATGAAAACGAATGGAAAGATAATTTAATAAAAAAATGTATAAATTACTAAATTAATTAATATATAAAAAAATTAAAAGAAATGGGCTAAATCGGTGCGTTGAAAATAAGAACGCAAAGATTTATTTGCATATATATTGTATGATACATCAATATATTATATCACACATCATTTTGTATTACACGTTAAACTGAAGATGATAAGAAAAAATCGAAACGTCCCAAAAAAAGTAGATTAAATACACAAATCTTTGCGTTCTTATTTCCGATGTATCCGCCCTTATTAGCCTATTCCTTTAATTAATTTATATTAATACATATATTAAAGCCTTCTCTCCATCATAATTTAATAATATATAAAATACATTCAATTATCTAAATTATTTCATTATTAAAAGATTACAATTGTGTATTTTTGTATAATATATTTATTAATATTAATGATTTTTTATGATATTGTTGTGTCGTGTATAATATGCAAATTTCTCTGCGGTGCTTTTAATCTCGCTCGCGAATTTTGCGATCAAATCCCGTTTTAAATGAGAATCACACTTTGAGAGAAATTGGGTACTTCGCTTCTCATTCAGTATAATCCTTTATAATATAAATCTGAAGATAAATCTTAAAGGATTATTCATCCAGATACTAAGCCGCCCCACCACGTCAAGGTGTACCCATCGGGGGGATTATTATTATTATATAATTTTATAATGTAATATATGATAACATAAATAAAATATGATAAGATTGAAAGATTAAAATAATAGAATGTTGTGATATTGCAATTGTTGATTCAATAATTTATTTATGTTGGCATTTTGTCAAGGCTTATAGTATCAAATAAAATATATTTGATCCTTAACATTATTAAAGAAATAATTATTATCCACAAAAATATAAAATTAAAGTGTCGGAGTATAAATTATAATCTCTAATTTTAATTCCTGTAGCCTTGATTTTGGCTTGCAATATATATAATCTTTGACAAACATTTATTCTTTGACAAAAATTCATATAGTTTATTAATCATTAAATGTAATATATAACGAATTGTTATCATTGTAATAATAATTATTATTATTAAAAATTATTAATATTATAATAATTAATTATTTATAATTATTATTATGTTTATTATATTATAATAATATTAGTGTATATATATATATATTATATTATATAATATATAGTGTGTATATATATATATATATATATATATATATATATATATATATAATTAATTGTAATAATTATTATTCTAAATGAAACAAAAAATATAACAAGCAAAATAATAATAAAAGAGTATATTGTTATATATAGAATTAAATATTTATATGTAATTAAATAACATATTTCACTCTTTTCATAAACAAAGAAATTTATAAACAAAATTAGCAATCAAATTTATATTTAATTTAAATTAGCAATAATAAATAATGTTATACTATTAAGTAAAATTGAAAAAGTTAATCCTGTACATTGCTAATTGCAAAAGACAACTTAAGATATTATAAAAGTTTTATATATTATTAACATTAAATATATGAAAAAAATACCTCTATTATAACTAAATAAATGAATTTTAGAGAAAGGCTATTTCCTTATTCATTTAAATTTAAAAATTTGGATTGTGGGGACTAAAATTTGACAAGCAAAATAAAAATAAGAGCTTATAATTAAAAATAATAAATTTAAGTTATACAAAAAAATTCATGGAAAATTTGCGAAATATTACATTTTCAATAATTATCGTCATAAGTGCTCAAAATAAAGAATTAAATGAAAAATTACCAAATATTTTATATATCATATTTCTAATATACATACTTATCTTGTCAAAATAGATTTCTTGAATTTTTTTATTTTTATTTCATAGTGATATATGCAATATTATTACAAATTGGTATATTTTGAACAGCTAGTTGCAAATTTACGATAATATAATAGCGTTCTAGTAGTACACACTTCTAACATAATGGAATGGTTCTCGTTTCATTAGTTCTTCATGAGAATAAGCTGTAAGTCCCAATATGTAATTATCAACCAAAATCGGTACATTGAACACTCTTGTCTTTACTAAAGGTATTTCTTTCCCGTAACGTTTGCTCTCTCTTCGTACTTCTTCACATAATTTTTGGGCAGCGATTAATGAGCAACCGCGTATCTCTAGTTCTTCCCTGCTTCCATGCTGAAGTGGTTCATCTGCAAGAAAAAATGCAGCGCGTTTGACTACGAAAACGTTTCACTGAAAACGTATATAGCGAATCCTAAATATCAGAAAAAAATTAATTAAACAAAAAACGTTCTTTAATCGCAAACTCTCATGTAATATATTGTATAAAATACATAATGATTGCATATAATTAATATAAAACAAATAAATTTGAATAACAAAATAGTCTAATAACAGTATTTCATAATTACATGATCGACTTTTAGATACATTTTAAATTCGTGAATTATCTATCTATTTTTCCAGTTAGTAAATTTTAAGTTTTATTTGATAACAAAATACAAAAATATGTAGTTGATGACTTTATAAAATGCTGTTTTATTTTATCGATCTCATTCTTGTGAAAAAACGATTGATCATAAAATCTATAAATGAGAAATAAATAGAAGATAGCTACTTTGAAAATAGATTTTTAAAACACTGCATTTTATCAATGTTGAATAAATAAAATGTATGCAATACAAATAACTTTTGACAAAAAAATGATTAATCTTTTAAAATATAATATATAAGTAATATAATATAAATAATAATATATAAGTTTATTATTTATTGTGATTCATCAAATATTTATTATATGGAAATTCGTGCTTTTTGTACTTGTCAAAGAAACGTTTTACTATTAATTACAAATAAATAGTTTCTAGAAGTCTATAAAAAATGACATATTTGCCATTCGTAAATAACTTAATATCTTACTACTTTTAGTATCTTATCACTATTTAACTTAAATATCTTACCACTATTTTCAAATCTAGTCACAAGCATTTCACTATAGCGAAGAACTTTGAAATGAAGGAGAACTTGGGGAGTACGATAATCCATAAACATTGTAGACATCATCTTTTGTGTATCTAGTCGAAATCTATTGTTAAATTTATGTAGCTTATAATAATACCATATGTCGATTATTAATGACATAGCCTTGCTATGCAAACGAACTGAAAAATAATTTAATAAAAGGAAATTTAATAAAAAAAGTATATAATAAATTGTATATAATATAATAAAAAAGAATAATTATATACTAAATTTATAATAATATACAAAACATGCTAAATCATTTAAACTAGTTAATAATAAAGATATTAAAATTATAATTGTATAACGTTCATTACTTGACAAATATGTTCATCAAATAGTCTACATACAATTATATTTTATTAATTTCATGATCTTATATAGAATTATAAATAAAATAATAAATGTGTCATAACATAAAAGACAATTTTTACTGATATTTAAAGTTAAATTTAATTTAAAAAATTTTTATTACGTCTATCATAAATATTGTAATATAAAAGTTCTCACAAAATGCACAATTATCAACTTATACAGTAATGTATTATTTAAAAATCTAACTGTATGAACATATTATTTTTACTGATTCGTTATTATTTGATAAAATCGCTGCACATATAATTTTTAAACTTCAGTAAATAGCATTAACAGTAATTACCTTTTAAACCTTCAAATTCTGCTTCGTCTCGATACGATTCAAATTCGTCGAAAAGTAATTTTAGCAATTTGTCTGCATCATATTCGGCCGCTTTAACACATTCTACAAAAGTACCTATAACATAATGAAATTTTATAATTCCCGTCAATTGCCTATTATCGAAAGATGAATTATATATGTTTATTTTATATTATTTTTAACCAAATAGTCACAGTAATTATTATGACATTATTTTGATGTCATAATAATTACTGTGGCTATCTGGGAAACAATTACTGATTCAAAATCGTTAATTTATCTAATACATTCAGCAATGGAGAAAAAACTCGAAACATATTCATCAAATCATTTTAAACAAATCAATTTAGTTACACATACATACATGTGTATGTGTATATATTGTATATATATAAAATAAAACTGCACATATGTATATACATAATAAAACTGCTTTTTCGTTTTTTTAGACTGATATCTATTTCTAGCGACAAAAGTTTTGTTACTAGAAATGTTGCTGCTTCTATATATTTTATTTATTATATAATATTTATTTATTTAATAATATAATATTTAATATTTTAATCTTATTTTTGTAAAGTAAGTGTTTTCTTGTTTTATTCCCAAAAACAAGAGAAACAAATTAGTTATGAGCAATTTATATAGACGTACGTCTTAAAGAAAGAATTTATAAACTCTAAAGAAAATATTCATTATTTGTTATGCGTATATAATTTTATTATCATAATTTATACCGTCATATTTATCCAACAAAATTTCTCCAACTTTACGTAAAATCGTAAACCTTTCCTGTATTAGTGGAATACTAGTTTCATCATCGTCACCTCGTAAAATGTATTCCAAATCACTTTGTGTCATTTTTGTATAATAATTAGGATCCCATATAGGTTTTCCTTCCTATTACAAGCATATTATAATATATACTATGTTGCAAAATTAAATAAATATATATAAGAAAATTATAAAGAATTTACGAATTATTTTTACAAAGATAATTATAATATTTTATGTTACACTTATTATAAAAAAAAGTATAATTTGCATTACTGCAACTATTTGCCGATTATTTCAATTTTATAATAAACAGTATAAAATGAATGTAAATGTCATAATTGTCAATTAAAAAATTAAAATTATTTTCAAAAAGTCTGTACTCACATCAATGGCTCTTTTAATAGCAATACATAATCCGATATATCCCTTTGCACCATCAACTGCCCATTGTTTTCTACCTTTTCGATTGCAGAGTGCAAAATTCAATGTTTGCAACACAAACAGCCAATTTATTGCTCTCGAGTCATTTTCACTCGGATATGTTGCATGACGTCGGCAATGGTTTGTGAGCTTATATACGTCCGTATTTTCCCTTAAATACGTTATCACCTATGTGTAAATCAATCAAAATATCTATTTTAATAATAACGTTTTATTTCCTTGAATAAGATTTTAAAATAAAGTAAAGAAAACGCACATGCGCTGTCAGTTTCTTGATGCCTTCTTGATCGATATGTACATCTTGCGCTTTTTCAGAAATAAATTTTGCCGCTTCTAATGATTCTTTCACATCATAATCACTGCTAATAATCTCAGCCTCCAATGACTCTTTCACGTCATAAGCACTGCTATTATCCTCAGCCATGACGTTACGTTATATTTCGTTTCAAACTGTGGACTATCTCTGACGATGACTTTTATGACGCTCACCTTACTCAGAGATTGCTGTCAGCAAAATAAGACGAACTCGACACTTATAAGGTCATAAACATAAGTATTTCTTTTTGTATAAAAATACGTTTTATGTGCTTATTTATGACGCACTTTCAAAATATATGCTTGTAAGTTATGCTATTATGCATGCTTCTTTTATCCATTTACATTACTTTAATTTAAATCTATAATAATTGCTTTAATTTATATCCTATCTCCCTTTTCTAACATTTATAAATGTTACATTCATATATAAATGTAACTATTTCATGTTAAATGTAAATAATGCAACAATCATGAAAAACTTTATTATATATTATTATTCATTTACCTTTTTTTCTTTTTAATTTTACGCTTTAGATATACCTTGTATTAAAATAAAATAAATTTGCACATTCAATATTTGTTAAAAAAAACGCAAAAATCAATGTTCTAGAAATTTTACCTAAAAAATAGATAAAACTCTTCCTTTATTCCATTTTTTTCCCATTAAAATATTCTGTTTCTAAATATCAATCTAAAATAATATAGAGAGAAATTTGTCTTATTCTCAAACAAAGTTTTAAAAGATATTTAATGCATTTTTTAAAAATAACTTTTAGTTAAAATATTATAGTCCATAAAAAAGCATTCATTATAAAACAAAATAAATTTTTAATTTAAAATTAATTTAATATAGATATAAAATGTAGAAAATTTTATATGTATATTGTATATATATATATATATATATATATATATATATATATATATAAATCTTTCAAGTAAAAGCGTGATCGACCTTACATTGCTGATAAAAGGTATCCTTTGCATCCACCCAAAAGTCCGAAATGTCGCAATCAGCGGCTGCTAAACACACGAGGAAATCGAAAGTATTCGTACAGAAATAGAAAAAGCGATATCATGTGGCAAAAAATGTCGATGATTTACCGGAACTGGCTTGATAGGCAAATATTGGACAAAAAGACGAAAAAAGAATAGTGAATCTGTTTTCGCGGAATCTTACTTTAATACTGCGCCAAGAGCAAGCAAAATTAAAGTCAAAAAGTTTAGATATATCGTACGAAACTATCCGAACCCAACTCCGTACTTATGACCTGAAATGGCACTATACAACCTTTGTTGACCGAAAAATATGCGACCGCTTGGGCACACGAGAACATTGATCGAGATTTTAGGAATGTAATTTAGCCTGGTCAACCTCCATCAATAAGCTTGTCTAGCGGACCGTAAAACATGGAAAAAAGATGCATCTTTGGGGCTGCTTCTCAAAGCAGGGATTTGGCACTTTGTATCTGTTTACCTACAACCTGAATGTCGAGAAAATGCTGGAAATCTACAAAAAGGCTTTGGTACCGTCTGCCGAACGTTGGGCGCATTATTAACATAATTGCATCCTTGTTCTTATCAAGTACAATGCATATATATATATATATATATATATATGGATAAATTTTTTTATAAATTAATTATATTAATTATTATAGTAAATAATTAATAATCACGTTGTATTTAAAAAATTAAAGAAATTATTCCCACGTATTGTCAGTCAAAGAAAGATTTTTTCAAAAATATATAAAATATATTAAATTAATATTATTAAAAATATAATAAATATCATTAAAAAATTATATATCTATAATTTATATAATAAATAAGTTTTAAGATAATTTTATATAAAAGAAAACGTTATCCTTGTCACATAAATTTTGGGATTTATATTATCAAAACGAGAACTTTACAATAAAATATATTAAATATAAGTAATAAAAATAAAAAAGTTGTATTAAAGATAATGTTTAATATCACGCAAGAACAATGCAACTCAATCACAAATTTTATAGCACAAATCCGATATTTACTCTATTATATATCATAAGTAAAGTAACACTTAATAAGTAATATATGCTTAGTTGCCTACTCTCTACCATAAAGCTCTAATTATATCAATTTAAAAATTAATTTTAAAAAATTTTTTATTTCTTAAGATGAAATACCTCTTTCTCTCTATATTAATAAACAATTTTTTATTATATCTGGAGATGAAGTACCACTTTCTCTCTATATGAATAATTTTATTTTTATCACACTGTTAAAAAAATTGATTTATACATTTATATATACATTAGAAAGTTCATTTTTCGATTAAATTAAAACCAATTATGTCATGTTCTTTTAAATGATAATAAACAAATATTACGCTATAAGAAAAAAAGTCGATAAGAAAATTGTTCTAAAACAATACGTCATTACTATAAACGTTATTACAAACATACATTATTACAAATATTTATTATCCTTTGTGATTCTTCGATCCGAAAATTGCTCAGAAATTTCAAGCAATGTAAAGGGATTCTAGTAATACACACATTTAATATTTGGAAATGGCTGTGTTTCCATCAGTAACTGATCGTGTACTTGTCGATAATCCGATAAGAAATTATCCAGTATGATGGTATAATTAATATCTGTTTGCTTTTTTTTTACGAAATAATCGTTACACATCTTAAATACTTCGGTGCTCAGTGAGTCTATTGCAGCCATTGAGCTACTACGTATTTCTATTTCCTCTTTGCTTCCATATTTAAGTTCATCTGCAAAAAAACCTAGTATTTTATTTTATGACACAGTAAATCCTCTACATAAAAGTTATTTGCAAATTTTTACGCAGTATGTAAATATATAGTATGTCAATTAAGAAGAGAGCTTACAATCTATAAATAAAACTCATTAATAATAATAATATAAAAATATAATCAAATTTTTAATTGAATACTTAATTGTATTTATTATAGTATTTTAAGCCTAGGTTTATCGAAAAAACAATGTTCATATATTGAATACATAGTTTGTAAATCAAGATTCCGAATAAAAATAAATGTGATTTGTCTTTTGTAAAAAATAATCTAATATTGGGCATCTTACCGTTTCTTTCTAATTTGGTTAAATGTTGTTTACTATAACTAACAATTTTAAAATGAAGAAGAATTTGAGAGAAGCGATAATCGATAAACATTGTCTTCATCCAAGTTGCATAATTGAAACCAAACTTATGTCCCTTAAAATAAAACCATATATCGCTCACTAATGATCGAGCCTTGGTATAAAAATAAACTGAAATAAAGTTCATTAAAGTGTAAAGTAATATTATATAGTACCATTTATCAAACATAATACAGTAGTTAAATCAATTAATTATAGAGATATTAAATTATATCTGTATAGTATTCGTCAATGGAAATTAATAAACATATATGTACACTCGTTATGTCTACAGAAGATTTTTGTTAGACATTTATTCTATTTATATATTTTAAGAATTTTACATTTATATTGAGTCTTGTAATATATTAATAAATACAAAATTTTCGTTGATACTTCATCAAGAAGACCAAATCTCTGAATAAATTGTCATAAAAATCTTTCGAGGCACAAACTTCAACATAATCTTTCAAAGATATAGATAGATTTATAATACAATCTTATACAACACTGAATTTGAATTTAGAATTATTATATATATATATATATATAATCTATATATATACTCACATTTCAGTGCTCAGCATAAGCTTGCACACTTTTTTATACATGTATATTGTATTAGTTATTAGATAATTATCACCTAATAATAATTAATAATTACCTGGCTCCTTTTCATATGTTGATTTATCTTGATATGATTCAAAATTAGTTACAATTAAGTTCAACAATTTCAATGGATTGCCTTTGCTCCGTTTGACACATGTTACAAAGCTACCTACAACATAACAACTTATCAGCTCTGTCAATCGCTATTTTTTCAAAATGTCACATTATAATTATAAAAAACTACTAATTTATTTAATATATCTAATATGAATTTCATATTAAACAAAATAGATAAAATTTACAGTAAAAAGTGTTTATCTTTTTATTGATAATATTTACTCCTCCGTTATGTAAAGAGATTTATTTTTATTAATTCTTTCCAATATATTTCCACCTTGCGCGATATTTGCAAAATATCGTATATTTGAAAAGATCTTTAATTTGTTTGTATATAATTCTATTGTGATAATTTTTACCTTGATATTTATGTAACAAAATGTTTCCAATTTCATGCAAAATTGTAAGTCTTTCATGTATAAGTGGAATGTTAGTTTCTCCATCGTCACTTTTGAAAATCATTTCGAGCTCGTGTTGCGTTAATTTTGTGTAATATTTTGGACTCCATATTGGTATTTCTTCCTATCGCAAATATTATATATTATATATATTACTAATTGTATATTACTAATTGTAAAAAGTTGTATTAAAGAGATATGTAGACATATTTAATAACTTTAGAAAATTCTTTATACAATATGTAACAAAACTATATTGATATTGAATTTATTAGGAAACTTACTATATTGTTTATATATTACATATTACACATTATTACAGATATTAATTGATTATTCTAATTTGCCATTCTTTTAATAAATATAATTAAAATATTTATTTAAAAAAAATTTTTAATATATGTTTCACACACAGTTGAAATTTTTGCAATTGTCACATTTTTACTCAATTTTAAACTCATTTGTAAATATTTGTAATAAGAATGTATATATTAAAAAGTTTAAATTGTAAAATTAAAAGAATGTGCCAGAGTTATTAAATACGTTAAAAACATAATTAACAAATAAAGTATCATAAATATCCTAAGTATATTATAAAATGTTAAAAAATTTAAAAATTAAATATGCAACATAGTGTATAATCAGAATGTTTGCCTAATATTTTATTACTAGAACAACGAAAGCGCGCCATTTCTTAATTTTATATTAACTTTTAATACTTTAGAACTTGTTGCCAAAAATACATTTCTCCTAATATTAGTATTATTTTTCCTAATATTAGTTTTATTTTTCCTAATATTAGTTTTATTTTTCCTAATATTAGTATTATTTTTCCTCAAGTTAGTTTTATTTTTCCTAATATTAGTTTTTAATGTTAGTTAATTGAAAAAAGAGAAGTCACTGCAGTAATTCCCTCCCAGAAAATAAAAAAATTTTTAGTGCTCTGCATTTAAACATATAAATAATTATAAAGATTTTTTACATAATATATATTCAGCTTAATTATATTTATTCACAAAAGTGTTATTATACAATATTATATTCAAATCAGATATTTCACAATAAAGGTTTAGTTTGCAATTGCAAGACAATCGCGATTGCAGAAAATTGAAATAGGATCAAATTCAAAACTTCTTTAATTTCCCTTTTTTCAACTTCTCTCGAATTTGTGATATATAATTTATTCTGTAAATATAGAATAAATTTTAATTTTTAATAACGCAGCATTCAAGCAATGACTCTAACGAGTGTCAAAAAATTCAAACGACATCAATTCTTTTCACCTATTATTCTGAGAACAAACATTTTCTTTCTTGACGCTTACACGGTGTCTCGAACAAATAAGAATGATATGTTGCGAGTGAGAATGGCAGAAATATTAGTAGATATAATTAGTCGAAGAAAACTGTATAGATGCCTCTCTCTCTCTCCTCTATTTTTTTCAAAATATTACAATATATTTTAAATATAAAATTTTCTCTGAAAATTTTTATTTTTTTTCATTTTATATTTTTAAATAGATAAATTAAATAATTTTTCTATTTTATAATGTATAAATAATTTTGAAAATTTAATTCGGATTATAAAATAACGAATAGTATTTTCTAATTTAAATATTCTTATAGCAACAATGCTATACATCTTATATTTCAAATATTATTTTGATTACGTATTACGTGTAATCTACATCAATAAATTATTTTAGGAAGTTCAATAAGAGTATGATATATAATTATAGAGAGAGACACAGAACATTTTAATAGCCACATAAAGTGCATAAATATTGTTAAGTACACGAGTCAAATTTAAAACACATTTTAATTCGCTTTTTAAATAAATAGCTGTATATAAATGTATCAAATTTTATTTTTAATGTCAAAATTTTTTTTCTATTTCTAAATTACAAATATGTAAACGTGATATAATTTTTTATTATTTTCTTAAAAATAACAGTCAATTATTATTTTCCGAACAATGTAACAAAAAATAAACTCACATTGCGTTGAGTCGATTACTTAAACCTCTCTGCTTTAATAGGTATATTCGCTTTAATGTTCCACTGCTGCTCTGCTATAATCCCATATGGTTTGGCACTGATCACTGCACTGTTTTTTCCATTATTTTATATTTGCAATAATTATTTATCACACTTTGCTACACACAGATGCACTTCAAAATGAACGGACGAGTCGACAAAAATAAGATCACTCGCGAATGCATTTCGTGACATCGCGAAGTGAACGGAAAGTGTCATGGCAAAGTGAAGAAATTTAAAATTAAAATTATGTATACAATAAAAATTCAAGAATAAATTATGTATACAATAAAATTATGTACATAACAGAAATTCAGCGAATTAAGATTATTTACATAAAAGAAATACGGCAAATTATGTGCATATAGAAAGAAATGCAGCAAATTAAAATTATGCACATAATAGTAATTCAGTAAATTAAAATTATATACACACATAATAGAAATTCGATGACATAAACAAAATTATTGTACATAATAAAAACTCAGCAAATAATATTTTTAACAAATTGTAAAACTGTCAAACGACTTGATTGTGATTCAAGCCGCGAAGCAAACTTCGAGACAATCAACCAGCATCGCGGAAAAGAGGCCTCGATACTTCGATTAAAATTAAATTCACTCCAATATGCTTTTTTTAAAAAAAAGGATAAAACAAATGAAAGAAAATATTATATCAAAATTTTGCATGTATGTGCAACATTCAATAGTTATAATTAACATCATTATATAAATGTAAATATTGCTGTGAGAAACAGGATTGACATATTTTAAATTTATGACGTAAATATTTCATCTCAAACAAAAAATTAACGCGCATAATGATTAGAATTAGAAGAATTACGTAAGTATTGAATGCAATGCACGAGATTAACCTATATAAAATTCCGAATATAAACCGAATATATACAAAATATTTCTCATGTTTGCAATATTTTGTATGTAAAAATTATCAAATTATTCTATTACATAAAAAAGCCTATGTATTATACTTTATAACTTCAAGTTTCCAATTAATAAAAAACTCATAATATTACGTTAATGCATTATATTATAATACTCTTTAATTTGCACATCAATGCAAAGAAAATTTTAAGGATTTAAAATAAAAGATAATATTTCTAATCGCGTAAAATTAAGAAAATTTATCTGAAATATATACATATATATGTATACAGAAATTAATAATCAGATAATTTTTTTTAATTTTATGTGATTAAATATTATCTTTTATTTTAAATTCTTAAAATTCGCTTTGCATTGATGTGCAAATTAAAAAGTATTAATATAATGCATTAACGTAATATTATGTGGGTTTTTTATTAAATTGTAAATTTGAAGTTATAAAGTAACACATATAGGTTTTTATCTGTTTATATATATATATATATATATATATATATATATATATGTGTGTGTGTATGTGCAAACTAGTTAATTATTTATTGAAATAGAGACTTAGACCGGTTAGCCGAGACAATTCCGAAACCAAATAATGCTATGCTCGAGTTTGGTCTACCAAAATGGAAAATGATGCCTCTAGAACATAAGATACCTATGATACCTGGACTCAAAGATGCTTATAATTTTACACGACGTAAGGTAGGAAGCAGTCTGTGGGAGATAGATGGACCAAAAATGAAGTTCGACCTGAGTGATCCTTATTGCCATGAAAGCGGATTCTCCTACGAACTCCTGCATGATAAGCATCTACGCGATTTTTTCTCTAGACCAGCTAATTTGAAGTGTCTGTTAAAAGCCGGTCTCATCACAAACGATATGGATGTGAAATGTTCGCTGCGCGATTATAACACTTACAGAAAATATCTGAAAAAAGTACATACTGACCGTGTCAGAAGAGAACTGAAAAGAAGAAATCGTTTATTTGTTGAAAGAAGAGCCCTTCGTTTCGCCGAGGACCAAGCACGCAAGGAAGTGAAAAGGTATATTTCATAATTATTATGTAGCAAGAAGAATATCATTTCCTAATTTCAAAAATTAAATTTCTTTAACAGAAAAAAGTAAATTTCTATTCTACATCAAATATTTTACAACCATCGGATATTTTATACATAAATTTCATTCTTTTGAAGAGTAAATTTGATCAATTTAGAATCGATTTTTTTAAATATATAAATATCGCAAGGTATCAATAATTTTAGAAGAATTTTTATTTGAAATTTAAATGATATATATTTTACTAAAGATATATTAAAGATATTAAAGATATACAATACATATATAAGATGCAAAAAATGAAAAGTTACAAAAGATGACCTCTATACATATACATACAGGTATGTATATACATCTATTATGTTTTCTTTAAATCGATTCTAAATTATACTTAAAGACTATCAGAAAAATATCTGATAGTTTTGCAATATATTTTGTTTTTATATTTGCATTAGAATATGCCAAGATGTGTGGTGAATCTATTTTTCTTTTTATAATTATTAATATTTTTACATTATTTCCACTTGAATTTAGTACATGGACATGTTTATAAATTTTTCTGAAAATATCAGATTAAGAGAAAAAGAGAAATTGGCCATCGACAGAAAGCACCTCGTGCAGCAACAATTATTAGAAAAAGAATTAAAAATCCGGAAGCAAAAGGAGAAAGCGCATAAATCAGTGCGAAGATTGCAGCTGTTAAAGTTTATTAGGCAAGAAGAACAAAGAATGATAAACATTAAACGTAAAAAGCGGGCTGAACAAATCCGGCAAAAATGCAAAATCGCGACGGAAATTGCCCGACAAAAAGTGATAAATATTTTGGTAGATTGGAAAAAGAAAGATAAGAGGCGAAAGAAAGCTAAAAATAAGCGATTACTAGATATTAAACAACAAAAACAGAAAGTCATAGAGGAAAGGTGTATATAAACTATTTGATACATTATTATTAAATAAAAAATATATTAAGAATTCGTCAAAATATTCGCAACATGATTTAATATTTTAATGGCTTAAGTAAAATAATCTAACAGAAAAAAAACCTCTACGACAAATTTTTTCACAGATGGAAAAAGAAACAGTATTTTCAAGAAAAAGATATTGAGAGACAGAAAATATTATTACAATGTATAGATATTCGTCGACAGAAATTTATACAGAATTATAATGATAAAATCAATCAAGAAACTACAAGAATGCAAAGTAAGACTAAGAGAAAAATATTTCAAAAAATAGTATGTTCAATCTTTCATAATAGAATTATTTATATTGTGTTTATATATATATATATATATATATATATATATATATATATATAATTTTTAAGATCGATATTATGTTGCGAATGATTTTATTAATTTGATATAATATGACAGATTATATCATTTAATAAAAATCTTTCTCCTCTCTTTTCTTTGTAAAGTCAAATAAGATATATTATCTGTATTTATAAATTTTAATTTTATAATATATAATATTATTTTGCGCAGGACTTTTGGATAATGCAAAGTTGTTTACAAACTGCTATGTTAAAAAGTATTTACCAGATAAAAGAGAACGTATTTGCTGTAAAAAGAATTTTGAAAGCAATAAGGTAAAAAGCACGCAAATTAATATATAAAACATTTTAAACAAATAGCAAACATATTTTCTAATGAAGGTTTTCCCAGATATATATGTATCGCAGAACGTAAAAGAAAACAAACTGAAATAACTCAAAATTCAATAAATATATTTTTGTAACACTACTTTATATAAAACAAAAAACCCCATCAATATTCTTAATTTTTGCTCTTTGCGTCAAATTTTAATAAAAATTATTTCAAATAACAGGTAAATGCAAATGGTAAATTTCAAAATGCAATGCAAAAATTAAATATATTGCATGCACAAATCGTAATAAGGTAAAATAGAAATTCTTAGCTGGAGAAAAAGTCGAAGAACGTCAATTGTGATATAAACAAAAATCGTGCCAACGGAGATAGAATAAATATTTTATAGATTGTTAATATAATATTAAGAAACAAATATCCGTTTCAAAAAGTTAATAAACAACATATTTAAATTAAATTACCTATTAGCCCAGAATGTAATGACTGATGAGAAAATATTAGTTATCTAAATGTGCCAATAATTATTGTGTGAAAAATTATTACTTACATCAATCGCCCTTTTAATAGCAACACACAGTGCTTGATATCCAGTTAGTTGATTAACTGTCCATTGCTTGGTACTCCTTGGATTCCATAGTGCGAAATTCAAAGTGTTCAGCACAAATATCCAATCCACCGCCCTGTGATCGAGCAAATCCGGATAAAAATCAGATGTAATTCGCGTCAAATTGGTAATTTCAGCAAGGTTTTCTGTCTGATAATTTTGAAGAATATAGTTCTTCACCTACATAAATCAATTGCAATATCTCATTGATTTTTTTCAACACACACACACACACACACAAACAAAGAACTTATTTAAATTGTCTTATACAATTAATAAAATTAAATTAAATTAAGTTCCTAGAATTATTTAATATTTGAGGTTCAAATTATATGCACGAGTAAAAACCTACATATTAAATATATATCTCGATACACAGTAGATGGTACAATATTATAATGATGTTAAAAATGTAAAGATTATATGTGTGAGAAATAGGATAAAATGTAGAATAAAATTTTATTTTTGTACGCTGTATTTCTGAAAATATCAGTTTCAAAATTTATAAAAATATTTTTTTTCTTTATATTTAGTACTTCATATACATTTTCTCGTTTTCTTTATTTAAAAAATTACTAATTGTATCACTAGTTTTTTCTTCGTGAATATCATCCATATACAAAATAAAAATCTATTAAATATGTACCGCGATTTCTTCTTATTTCTTATATCTTTTCTTAATGATTTAATTTTTCGATACGTGCGATTACATCTTATATATCATGTGATATAGGTATTATAATATACTAAATATTATTATAATATTAATATTATCCTGAAATTGTTTCAAGAGGGAATAAATAAACTCACCTCCAATGCTAGATTTTTTATACCTTTGTTACAGATGAATGTTTCTTTTCCCTTAAAAGCATTGTAATCTTGATCTATAGTCATATAGTCAGTTATATAGTCAATCATTATGTTATGTGTTTTCTGCTTCAAATTATTAACTGTGATTATCTTCCGATTAGTTCAACGAGTTTCACGATTCTGATAATGAAAATAAACATGTTTATATTTTAAAATCCGTTAACCATCATCGCAAGTGTCTTCAAGGTTTCTCTCTGGTACCTTATATTACTGCGTGCTATAACTATATACATATAATTTACCTTTAAACTCACCCTTGCCAACTGTACAGTTCAGGTATAAAAAAAGATCCCGACTTCTCTGAGAGAAAGTATAACAATATTATTATAATATAAACAGAGAGAAAGTATAACAATATTATAGGACTCTAATAGGAAGTACAATGTTTTCGAATAAATAAGCAAGTTTGATCGATTCGAAATCGATTAATGACGTTAATCACATATTAATTCTTCAGAGAATGACTGATTGGTCAACGAGGATCGCAATTGATTAATCGCTCTCAGGTCGATCAAATCCGCTTTATTCGAAAACGCTATTAAATACATAAATCTTTTCCTATTTTTATATTCTCGAGATAATATAAATGTTTCTTTTTAGTTACGTCTTTTATAAACGTTTCATTTCATACCATTATTTTTTCTAATTTTGAGCCTAAAGTTATTCATCTACGATATTAGAACTAGAATAGAATTCTTCGAGATCACATTTGAAAATTTGTCACGCAATAGAATTGCAATGATTTCTTTATTTTAATTGATCATTTAAATGTTATTTTATTTAATAATAGATTTTTAAACAATCTTGAAGAATGTCCGATTTTTAGACACAAGACTTTAGATAATGTAAATACACTTGGCCTTACCTATTCAAATCAAATTATAAAAATGTTTATTATATTCTAGTCATTAATAATAAATAGCAAAGATTTTTATTATACATTTTTATAAATAGAAACATTTATTAGATTTTTTTATTTAAATAAGCTATTAAAAAAATAATTTATTAGTTTATTTAAATAAATCTTTTCAATTAGAAATTTATATACACAAAAAAAGAATTTAATTGAGGAAAATAATCCCAAAATAGATCTTTTAACTAATTTGGTAAATATTTTAATATGTATTTACTTAAAAACTTACTTATTTTATAGCACAGATAATTGCGCGTTCGCCCTCTGTGTCCAAGAAATCGAATTCATATTCGACCTTAAACATTTCAATGATCAATTCGATCATCTTTCTAAGAATAAACCACCGAGAATATCTATCTTATCATACACACCTCTCTAATCTGGTCATTTGGAATAAAACTTGGCCGACATAAAACTTGTAGTTTTCATGTCTGCGAAAAACCTATAAAAAAACGCATATCGTACATGTGGAGAGGGGAAGGGAGCACCTAATCGTGTGACAAGATTTACTGGAAAGAGAGAAAAAGCTTATGGAATATTATTCGCACAGGAGCAAGAGAATTTTTTATTACAAATATTTCGTACATGAGGCCAACTGCAATGTTGTGAACAACATGTAGAAATAATGTTTCATTTTTCTTACAGAAACAGATGAACATGTAAAAATAACATTTCATTTTTCTGTAAAAAAATGCTTGCGGCACAGACTTATTTCCGATCCAGAATAGGATCTATTGTTTGACCACCGCAAATTTGTCCCCATCCAATCAAACGCCAATGTTTCTCTACGCGCCTGGATAAGGCAATCTTTTCATCAACCTCCGTGCAAACCGGATTCGTCAAGCTAATTTTTGCCAAATCGGCACGAGTAGCCAGCACTCTACCTCCGGTACTTAACGATCCAATATTTACTAACAATACTTCCCCTCTCGATAGTTTCGGTACCTAGCAAAAAGTAATTTTTTTAAAAACAAAACGAACCTAACTTTAAAATAAAAAATAAAATTATTTTGTAAAAAATATACTCTACAAATATAATTATATATCAAAATGTCGTATATAATAAATATATATCAAAGTAAAACATTATATAAATTTTATATAACTTAAGAATTATATAACAATAGGATTAAGTGACAATTTTAATTAAAAACATTTTTAAAATCATATCAATTACTTTCAAAGATATGGATGTAAATTTTGGAAATGTGGTCACATATAGATTTTCAATATTGTGTAAACAATTAATGTAAGATTACTTACTCTCGCACCCTTCTTATCACCCTCGGTCCTTACACCCAATAAACGTTTGAGTAGATAATACGAGATTTCCAGTTCGATAAATATCTGTGGCAACGCACCGACACTTCCAAGAATTTGACCAACTAAACGATCAGCGCGACACAGTGTGGGTTCGATTTTGGTTCCGACGCCTTAAAAACACATATAATTTCTTTAGTATTTATTCATCAACATTTGTTGGGATTTTATTTATATTAAATCAATTAATAATATGAACATTTATATACTCAAATATTTTTATTAATTTATATTTATAATATTTATATTATAAATATTTATTATTATTTAATATATATATTTATATAATATTTATATTTATAAATATAATATATTTATAAATATATTTATATTTATAAATATTATATTTATAATATTTATATAATATTTATATTATTTTTTATATATAAATATGATATAAATATTACTTACCAATTAAACCACCCGGTACAGCAAATTGCAGTTCATTCTGTTCAGCGAAGAGAGATACGATGCGTGAGAATATTGGGCGACAAGTCAATTTACCTTCGCTGTCCTTGGATACTAATCCTGGACGAACTTCAATTTCCATGCCGACCTACAAAACGATGATAATTTATAATACATGTTTTAGATGTGTGTATATATTATTTGAAACTATTTAATTTTATCATTACCTTTAGTACTCCTCTGAGGATACTACCACCAGCTACGCCACCCTTCAAATCGTCCACCTCGCATCCTGGTTTATTCACGTCGAAAGATCGAATAACAATCAGTCGCGGTTCGGATGTAAAATCTCTCATTGGTACCGGGATTTTCTTTGTGATATATTCGCATAGCACTTCGATGTTGTATTTGAGTTGCGCAGAAATCGGTATTATCGGTGCACCTTCCGCTACCGTACCTAATAAAAAAAATTATTCAAACAAAATATAAAACATATATCTATTAAATTTTATTTAAAAATAGAAAATATTCAATATTTCTGTCAAGTTATGATCATTTTAGAAATGCATAAAATTTATATTTCGGATTTTATACACGGAGAGAATTTTGTGTTATATTTTACTGCAAAATTCACTACAAATTTTGTTTGGTGATAAACCAAAAATTACCATGTTACATATTAAAATTATTATGAATGATTAAGGATTGAAAATATTATGCTGCATTGTAAAATTTATTTTAAATATATTTTATATATGTTTATCACTTCTTTGGCATCTATTTTACTTAAAACACTTAAAGAATCATAAGTTTTTAATATATTTTAAAGTAATTGAAATTTTAGTATATATTTTATTAAATTAATCAAACATATTTTACATTTTATTGTGGTAGATTATTAATACTTTTTATTGTAAATAATCAGAGAAACTCTTAAAAAATTCGTCCAATATCATATTGTCCCACTATTACCAGGAATTTCAGAATATTCTAAGAGAAAATTCTCTCTGTGTATAAATATGAAATATTACACACACAAAAAAAACTAATTTTACATCAAGAAACAGCATAAATAATAAATAATTAATACCTTGAATAAATTTCAGAATTTGCTCATATTGTTCCTTTGCCTGTGCTTCTTTCACCAAATCGATCTTATTTTGCAAGATGACTATGTGCTTCAGTTTCATAATTTCGATAGCCGCCAAGTGCTCCGATGTTTGGGGTTGCGGGCATGACTCGTTACCAGCTACAATTCAAAAGTTCATTATTGGAAAAAATATTGATAAACGAGGGAATTCGATAAGAATAAGTTTAAAACATATATAAATTATTTACCGATTAAAAGCAAGGCGGCGTCCATAACAGCCGCTCCGTTGAGCATAGTTGCCATAAGAATATCGTGTCCAGGACAATCAACGAAGGAAACATGACGAACCAGCTGAAATCTTCCAGAACAAACCGGGCGTAAACAGGGGAAAGAATCGTCTTTACTAGATCCTCCGGATATGTAGCGTCCTGGTCGGGGACACTTTAGATTGTCACACTCATAAATCTTGGCATTTGCATATCCTGAAATAAGAAGAGCAATTAGATATAATAAACATTACTATTTTCTTTTTTTCTTCATTCTTCTCACGAGAATTTTTTATGCAAAAAAACTGTTTAAGCATGCTAAATGTTATTTATTGACTTCTAAAATAAATTCGATATCTTTGTGTGTATACATTGTTAAAAATTTAATTTCTATGTTTTCCACATATCCCAGATTTAATATTTAATATCCAAAGATGTAAACACATATGTAAAAATGTTTGAAATATGCCTTTTTAAAGTTTTCCATATCTCTTGCTTATCTAGAGTAGCAAGAAAAGTTTCTTTTATTGTTATAAAAATTTTTAATTAAAATAATTATGTATGCATTACATCGTGTTATCGAAAAATTCTCAATTTACCATAGATATAAAAGTTAAAAAACTTAACAAATATAACACATAGATTTTTTTCATAATAATAATCTAGTTAATCTTATATTAGAAGAACAAACACGATACTATAATTTGCCTCATGCAAATCTTTATTTCAAATTACTGACAATAACAATATATGTATGAGTCTTACAGAATATGCTTTCTTATGCTCACTTTTGTGCTCATTTTTGTTTAATTGTTTGGTCTCCTAATATCGATATGTCATCGACGTATATAAATAGTGTAATTTCATAGCGTTTCAAAAAGACATAACAGAATAATACTCGGTGAGTCTTTTGTGAATGACAAAATTAGAATACAGAGACATATCTGTATAGCACATGTATATCGTGAAATATATAGATCCTAAAGATGTTGACGACATATAACTAAAAGATAATTTATTTCTAATAAGCAACGTGTACAAGTTTGCGTCAACCCTTTACATTATGAAATGGTTAAGCAGAGAGAAGAAAAATATGAAATTTTATTATAAAATAAATTGTCATTATTTATAATTATTTACTGTTGAAATTGTATGATAACAATTAACTTCACGGTTAGCATCATAATTTTCAACTTTGTTATTTTAATTACATACTTGATTATTATCTATTGATAAATACTTGATAAATACTATATCTTAATATTTAAAGACTGTGTGTGTGTGTGTGTGTGTGTGTGGTGTGCACATATATAAATAATATACTGCTTTTCATGTTAATGTATATTTAATTGAACGTTGTTTTTAAATTTTTTGGCACATCTCTTGTGTAATGTGATTAAAGTACAAAAGATCCACATATGAGTATATTTGGAAAGATTTGCACACATAACACACATAAATAATATAATACACCCCAATTTTAAATGTAAAGGGCTTCCGCCACTTACATCAATCTCAAATATCTTTACAGAGATTCTAAAGATTTATAGTGTCGTAATTACCATACTTTTTATACAATATGGAAATTAATCGGAAAAATGCGCATTTTCTCGAAATAAAAATAAAATACTTTTCTGCTTATAACATGCAAATCATGTTTTATCAATAAATTTACATATCCCAATATGAACGCTGTTTTGCATATTTTTTTTTAATTTTATTTCTTTAAATGTCTATAACATAAATCTATTAATATATTTAAGAGCTTTAATAAATTTAAATTTTCAGCATTTTCCAAAAGCTCTGTGACTGGAAAACACTGCAAATTGACATATTTAAAATAATATATATAAATGTACTCGCGAGAAGTATAAACACATACTCGTATTCTTCAAAAAAGTAAAAAAATAAATAAGAAGGAAAATGAAAAACATATGAAATTTTTGTTACACGTTGCCTTCTTATATACACTATACTTTTTATATACTACAATACTGTTATATATATTATTATAAAAGAAGAATGTGAATTTTGATTCCACACATTTATGTTCACCTATGTATAAGATGAGTATAAAAATAAGCGTAGAATGTATTAAAACAAAACCATACAACAAACAGCTTTGTCACACATTTTCATAACATTTCTCTCTATATTTAAGAAACTTAATATTATAACTATTAATATAAGATCAGTCAAAAAGTTTGACTTCATTTTCGATACAGAACTTTATATGCATCTAAAACAGGCACTGTTGACTATTTCTATATATTATTGTAAAGATAAAATTTTTACTTGTCATTTGTGCATGGAATTAATTCACTTTATCAGAAGCAGAGCTATCACCAAATGCACATTTATAAAATTTATAAAGCTGCCGTGACTACCAAAACAATTTAGAAAAGAGAATATGAAATTCAGACCTGAAGTTTCATTTAAAAAAACAAGTCACATTTTTGGATCAAAATCTGTCGCCAATTTTGTTCTTAACTGATTAAAAGATCCATTTTTAGAGCGATTTATTAAAGATGCATTATGAAAAAACATTCAATAAAAACAAGCAAATAAACCTAGCTCAAAAGATGTGATACTGTATACAAAAGATTGAGATTACAAAAATCGAATCAAACTTTTTGACTGATCCAATTTGATATGACAATAATTCGCATGACAAGTCCATTTTAACGAGTCATATTAATCGTAAATTATTGACAAAATGTATAGTACAATGAAATACAATAATAGCGTCTTTGAAATATCTTATAATTCTACATTTTTCTCTTACTGTCTTATTTGAATCATATGATATATTGTTACAAGATTGACTAATTAATTACAATCCATTTTTAATTAAACTGGGCCAAATAATTTCTTTATTTTTAGTATTTATATCTTTCAACTTACCTAGCCTACAGCAATCTAATATGCGAAATAAATTTCACATCCATTGTCAAGTAACAAGTGTGAAATGATAGGAAAGTAATGCAAAAGTTAATGCAAAATAAACAAGTTAAGAATGTCAACAAATACAAAGGTACTAAGAATTGAGTATTAATTCACAGTAATCAAAAGTAATTGGAATCGAGAATTAATACACAGTAATCAAAAGAACACTATTCGTAACTTTGTTAATAAACATTGCGATTTTATGCAATCAAACTTGTGAGTTGTGTTTAAAATTTTTCGCATCTTTGCTGGCAGTCATAACTCAACTCAAAAAGAAAAACTGAATTTAAAAAGATAATAATATAAAAATTTCGAGATACTATAAGATTTGATTACATTATCCCAATCTAGATGAACTACTCCTAAGCTTGAATGCTTTCTTTCTCTTTTCGAATTACAATCGTTGCTAGCTCGATAATATATACAAGGAAAAAAGATTAAACTTGACTTAATCGGGGCTAACAATTGAGCCACGTTGTGGCAGACATCTCATAATAATTACATATACTTCAAAAGAAACATTAAAATAAATATCGCCGGCACGTTGCGGCGCCGCATTTACAGAGAATTCTATTCTTCGAGATATTCTTGGCGTCCGGTTCGTTATCCAGTAGCTGCTGTTGCATCTTCTCGTTACTGCCGCGCGGCGTCTGACACGTATAATCAAAAGTCAGCTCCTCATTCTGTTTAATATCCTTGATGGCGAAGAGCGCGAGACTCGGCAGATTCGGATCTAGACAATTGATCCAGATCGCGTAGACCGCGAGATTCGGATCGCACGAGTGATTAATGAAATGAGAGACGTTGCCGTACATGGCGGCGTCCACGGTGTACGGGCACTGGCCATCGGTCTCGTTGTAATCGAGATCAAAGAGATACGTACGACCGGTCACGTCGTACTGTCTGCCGCGTCTCTCCGCTTCCTCGCTACTAATCACCTCGCCCACGTACTGAATGACGAAGGTGCCCTTCTTGATCGCGCGTAAAGTGCGCACACCCCAACCGCGACCGTTGTCCGTGCGGAAGATGCACAGCTGCGTGTCGCTGCCGCGTTGCACCACACGATTCGGACAAGTCAGCGCGTCGCAGGCGCAGCGCTTGTTGCATTCGTAGATGGGTGTACCAGGAGGTACGCGTACCCGGCATGCCGACGTATACGGCAACGACGTCACGCCGTTCTGCGCGAAGCAGCAACCGGACTTTTTACCGGTTTCGCAGCTGTCGCACTCGCAACCGATCGGCGGATCATCCGGTATTATGATGCCTGCGCCCGGCAGGTAATTGTTTATATAATAAAAGTCCTGCGGCGCGCCCTCCAGATCCACCAGGTTCTCCACACGTATCGTCGGTTTTTTCTTCGTGATACTGTTCATTTCGTTTTCCCAGTCTTGTAGCAACTCGAGCTGGTCACGCCGCAACTCCTGCAGAAGCATGTGCACGAGCTGTCGTTTTATCTTTATCTCCAGTTTGCCGCTACGAGACGGTCTATTCAAATAGTGCCCAATATTTATGTATACATTGTCCTCGGCAACGGTGGCAGCGGTGGCGGCAGCTGATGTAGCGTCATCGATCGATATGCCCTTGGAAAATAATTGGGCCAGAAAATCCTCGACGTCGCGCACAGTTGGATAAAAGTTTGTTTTCTTTTTGAACCGGTTGATCAACTTCTGCCTTTCATCCTCAAACTCACGCAACAAATCCTCACAATTAATGAGATTGCGCAACGGCTCCCACGTGTTGTATTTATAATCCCAATTCTTCCATTTGATAAAATAGGACGGCTCGCCATTCTGCTCGCGCTTTTGTAGGATCTTCTCTACTTCCCAAAGCTTGTTCTGCTTGCTAGACCTAGTAGAGGACTCGCCAAGTGTTGATAATTCACGATTATTCTCAGTGTGTTTGATATCGTACAACAACACTCGTAAGTCTTTTAGTTCGAACTCACGAGATATCAGACTGTCGTCTCGTGCGGACGATCTACCATCAGACGACGACTCCTCGTAGTCGGACTGTCGGCCATCGCTACCTGGATCTCTCATACTTCCGTTACATACACGAGATCCGCCATCGTGTGCCACGAGTGCCTGTTGCGTGATGATTCTTCGGTGCGCTCGCAGATGCCTCGATGATGATGATGATGATGATGATGATGATGATGATAATGTTGATGTTGATGATGATGATGATGAGACGGTGCGGAAAGTATTTCTGTTGTCCAGTCCATGGGATATATTGATGTTGCGGCTCTCTCTTGTCTCGAGTCTGGACTGCTTGGCGCATGGTGCGTCAAACATGCTTCCAGGGGAGAGATGTCGTTTTTGATAAACGGCCGGCGTTTCGCTATCTACGCTGCCGGGTATATCTGCTGATTTGCTGCTGCTACCACAAGCCACTGCGTCTGCAATGCCAAACATTTAACAGCGTCATTGTTTCATCTTTCTTTCTTTTCCTTTTTTTTACGCGTATGACACTCTCCCCTTTCGCCTATTTTTTTCCTGTCCTTATATCTGTTTTTATTTTTGCTTTTGTTCTCTTCAAAGGTCCTTTTCACTTTTTTTCTCGACATGCCGGACGAATAATAGCAATAAATAACATGGGCCTACTTTGTTCATGCTATAATTATTGATTCCAATTGAACGATACATAACACACAGTGATAGCATATAATTTTAGTATTTTCTGAAGAGACCTCTCCGACTTTTCATCCTACTCACAGTTTCAAAGATTACAAAAAAAAATCAAGTTTGCACATTTGGCATACAATCTCTTTCTAATTTTTTTAACTAAAATACATTGTGTAAAAAATTGTTTTATTTTACATTTTGACGAAAGACATAAGCTTTTATGACACAAGTATCGTATAAAGCATCTATATAAAAAAGGGATATTTTATAAGTAAACTCTAAACAATAATATATAATGACATAAACACGAATATAGACACATATAAAATTGATTAGTACTAGAATATGTTAATATCACAATTTTTATATGTCACAGTTTGAATGTGTTAAATGTTGAAGAAATTAATATATATTTGTAAACAGAAATAAAATCAAATAGCAAGACATAAATACACATTTTGAAAATACATACATATTTCATCCTGAATAAACAATATATTTTATTATTAAAGTAAAAAGCAGTTTAATGTGTATAATTATATTTGTGTAATTGCAATTATAATTATAATTATAATTATATATAATTATAATAATTATTATAACTACTTTTTTTTAGTGTTAATTTTTATTTGTTACAATAAAATTACTTACCTTTCATTTCAATTTTTCTCACATATTGAAAAAAGAAAGAAAAAACATTTTAAAATTAAATCAAACTCGACAAATGACTGATAATTTATCATTATTATAATTTATCACTATTTTTATCAATATCAATTTTAATCAATACATAAAATCACCATGTCACCAAATTTCTCACACATTTGTGTGTATTATTTTAAAAATTATCTTTTTTCAATAAAAATAAATAATTAAAGCATTTTTTCATTGCTCACACATAATTGTGCACTTTCATTAAAAAAAAAATTAATTGCTACCTTTGCAAAAACATTGGCTACGTTCAGCAGAAAAAGTAGCTTTGCAACTGTTATAAAATTCGTGAAACTGATAGGTATGTATATGCTCTGTCTTAATTGCATTTAAGAGCATATACTAATCAGATTTACTAATTCTACAATAGTAGCAAAACTGCTTTTTCTACTGCACACAGCTATTGCAAAAAGAATATATTTGTGCAAAACTTTCATTGTATCAAATTAACAGAATATACAAATAGACAAAATATTCAATATATTTAAATGTGCTCACCGAGTTTAATAGTAATGTTCCTTTCTAGTTCATTTTTAAAACGAACAGTTTGCACTCCTGAAATGGCTTTTACAATCGTCGACTTTCCATGTGCTACATGTCCAATAGTACCTATAACAAATTTACATGTTTATAATAGAAATATTAAAATAATATATATGTATGTATGCGCGTGTAATGTATGATTTTATTTTATATTACATATAATATAAACTATATATAACAAAAACTATACATTAAAATTAAAATTTTTAAATACTCACCAATATTGATTGTAGCTTGTCTACTGATCACCTCACGTGACAATGCCGTTAATTTACTAACATCCTGTAAAATTAAATAATGTTATTAAATCATGCAAAATAATGAATTTTTTACAAAGTACAAGCCAAGTGGAAAAAAAATCATGGGAAAGAAATTATGAACAGTGTACAGTAAATAGTAAATAGAGCAATAGATTCTATATCTTTTTTCAAATTACAAACAATATATATATATATATATATATATATATATATATATATAGAAACAATTAAATTTAAGTTGTTAGTCTAATTCAACTAACAACATAAATCTCGACTGCAATTCATTAACTTCTTTATAAGACAAAATTTTAAAAGAAAACATCAATTTTTAAAGATTATTTGTTTATACATATATATATGTAGATATGAGTCAAGTGTGTCGAAAACGAAACGGTATACTAATTTTAAGAAGAAATGAGGTTAAGTGGGCGAATGACGCGGCGCGCAAACGATTATCATCGAGACTTTTGACCTTTTTCTTCCTTAGATTTGATTAATACCGGATAATTAATTTACTTCACTCAAACGGCCGAATAAAAACTGTTGTGAAATGAATTAAATTTGGAAAAAAGTGGCTTAAAAAAATCTATAAATTATCCGTTCAATATGTAGCGAAAGGAAGCGTTCAACGAGTTAAAATATCGAGTTTAATATTAGTATCCTACTGGTAAATGTCTTCGATATCGGCGCGAAATTTTCCATATAATCGAAACAGATGATCGAGTGTTCGAGGATTTGACGTTCACTGAAAAATAGGGCACGAAGGACACGTGCGGCGAGACGCGTTTGAATACGTCCATTCGCCGATGACAAACGGAGCCCCCTCGCTCGAATGTATCTTGTGCGGTACAGAAATTAACTTACGAGCTTCGACAAGTCCTGCTTGTAGAGATTTGGCTGGCCGGTGGTAACACCCACTACTTCCTCGCCGCCCATGTTTTGCTTCTGCCTCAGCGGTGACTATCTTCTATCAACGTAGACAAAGTTACGGATAATTGCGCGAATTGGTCTTGGAAGAGAGAAGAAGACCGAACGGTTCGGGCAACGACTCCGATTATGAGAAAAGACGGGAGAGGTGCTTGGTGACTATTGGTCACCTATCAACAGCGCTCTTTTGCGATTGGTGGGTTCTATGAGCAACTGTTTTTCTTGATTGGTCGAGTTGCGATTGATAAGATTGCGATATATCGAAGCTCGAAGTTTGCTGAAAACAAAGCTTTAAGTTACATATACATACATTTATCTATGGGTGCGTTCCGTTATGCACTGCAAGTACTGGCACTATGACGTCATGCAAGTGTACTGTTGACAGCGTTCCTTTTTAATTTTGTGCACTTTGAAGCTACTGCAAAATAGTAAAACGGAACGCACTACAGTACGCTTTCAGCAGACTTTTAACTAACCTTTTTCGCTAATAATCATCGAGTGAAAAATTGGTGAAATGGATAATACCATTATTGCATTAATTACATATAATTTAATCGAGAATATATATGATTCGAGTGAGTCATCAAGTGAAAGCGATTTGGAAATGGAATTAATAAATGAAATGAGACGACAAATTAAAATACCTAGAATAAAATGTAAAAATTACGTTAAAAATATTGTATCATTATATTCAGATATGGAATTTAAAAGTTAGTTCCATCGTACACATGGAGGTAGCCATCTTGATTACTGCGAGTGCTTTACCTCGCCGGTTGCAGTAATCGCAACAGGAAATAACGTCAAAATTAATGACGTCATATACTCATGATAGTACTTTCGCAGTGCACTGCTATCTATATCGGAACGCTATTGGTAGTACTGTCAGTACTTGCAGTGCATAACGGAACGCACCCTATATTGTAACTTGAATGAATTTTTATTTGCCTATATATTCTTGTTATTCATTATTTTTCAATTTCATATGAAATGTGAAAATTTCTATTATATGATTACAGAATTATTATATATATTATATATTAATAAATTATATATAATTAAAAAAAATGATTATCTATAATGTATATATAGTATTATTATTATAAAAAAATATATATATATAACAGGACACATATGTACATAACTTATATTTAAATTATGTTTTATTGAAACATGTGGTTTTCTAATTCGATCGATTTATTGAATAGCTTGGGCACATAAACAACGTATGTAAAGTATTTTTGGTTTTCATAAAACAACTGCATATAATTCATACCATTCAAGTCGATCGGAAATTTCATCTTTTGCCAGCATAACAATCTTTTCTCTTCTTATTTTTCTTCTTTCTCCAACAATACATTCTTATTTTATTTGCCCGCACTAAAAATTGAGAAACTAATTATCCCTCCAGGATATTTCTTATTCCAAAGCTGCGGCACCGGAAATAATTTCGATCAATTCTCTGGTGATCACAGCCTGTCGAGTGCGATTGAAAGTGAGAGTGAGTTTGTCAATCATCTCTCCGGCGTTTTTGCTAGCATTGTCCATCGCTGTCATACGGCTAGATTGTTCGCTGCAAGCACCTTCTTTCATCGAATAAAACAACAACGAGGCGAGGGAAAACTCCAAATAGCTTTGTATCACCTCCTCGTCAAGTGAATCGTATTGAAAGCTTTGGTGCAGTAACTACTGCATTTTTATCAAATAATGGCAAATCATCAACTGCATATGATACCACAGATTTAAATCTGTTGTATACTATACGTCCAGAACCAAAGGAATAGCTGCAAAAGATTAATGCAACAATAATCTATTATTTGCATAAATGTCATACCTTTAAAGAAATCCAATAATGCACTAAATAAATACTCGAAAATTCAAATAATCAAATTACAAGTAATATATAAATTAGATAAAATATATAAGTAATAGTAATATATATAGAATAATATATTTTTTGCAATATATTATTGCAAATTATTTAAATAGTAATCCAGTAATTACTATGAATTACATCTGTTTAAATGATTATTAAATATTATTTAGTCATTTATGCTGTATAATATGTTTCGATCTATAAATATTTCGTTGAACTTACCCGCTGTTCATTACTTGAATAGCTATCTTGGCTGCGTCGTTGAATGTTGGTGGCTTACGACCAACCTCGGATGCAACGAAGAGTATATTGTTCGCAAACAGTCGTTGGAGAATTGCTCGGGATTTCTCGCCGATGCATATGATTTTCGTGTTCTCGCGATCCTTGGGATCAGCTAGCAATCGGTCGCGAATGTTACGAGATACTCCAGTGTGCACGGCACCGCACAGACCACGATCGCTGGTCACGGCAATGACAAGTTTCTTCGGTTCCTCTGGTGGTGCCTGGATCTCAGCTTGTTCGTAAAACGTCTTTGTACCAACGCCAAGAGGACGAGCTTGTTTCAAGTCGCGCTCTGCACGATTGTACTTGGCAGCTGACACCATCTTCATGGATTGTGTGATCTTTTGAATATTCTTGACAGATTTCAGACGTATGGAGATAGCTTTAAGAGTGGCCATTCCTCTGTGTTGTTGCCATTGTTGATCCTGTGTGGCCAACCGCAGGATTGTTGACAGACGATTGCTGTACATTGTTGCGGTGGATGCTGGAGCCCTAAAAATTTTCAAAAGAATTAATCAATATATCAAAATCAAGACATAATAATCATAGGATGCTTTCCAGCAATGACACTGTGTGACACAGAGTATCATTCTTTGTTGTTTACTGATATTGAAAGAAGATAGAGTATAATACTCTGTCGCACTGTCATTGCTGGAAAGCACCCATTATAACTCTTTTACCACAAATTGCAAAATATATTATAGTTAATCATTATTTGTATAATATTCAAATATCATACCTAATGCTAATTTTTATACTAAATTTTATGTAAAAAATTATCAATACATTTTAATTAACGAGGAATTGAATAACTGAATGACATAGAAATAATAATGCAATTAAGCAGTTTTACGATAATAATTTATGTAAATGAGAATGTTATTAAAAATAATAAATATACTACATAAAAATATTGTAAGGAAAAATTTTTGACATATTACACATCTCTAGCTATTATATTTCTCTCCTTACAAATATATATTTTCATAATTTTTTGCTGATTAAAGAAAATCACAAAATATACATAATTCCATTCATAATAGATTTAAATTTAGAATTACAACAATATATCAATATGTGTTTTGTTACTGACACTATAATAGACAATTTTTAACACTGCATAACATATCACTGTCATTTACATAATCAGAAAGGCTCGTCAGTGTGTTTTTTGCACACATGAATAAATTCTCAGCTCATTCTCACAGAAAATCAGATCACGAATACCCGACACAAATATTTCGGGAATCTCTCGAGATGTAAGCAAATCAACTCACCAGCCAACTCCGTAAATAATTCCCACGAAATCTCAAAAGACTCTCAGGTTCCGTATGTGGAAACCCACGAAGGAGATCCGTGCACACGTAACGCGATGGTAAGGTGGATTCGCAATTATTAAAAAAGCTCGACGCGCCATCTGTAAGCATCGAGCGTCACTATTGACAAGGAAAATTCATATGAGTCGCTCATCTATGTACGATTTATATTTTTTGCTTATTCATATTTTTACTTATCGTCTATATTTTAATGCGTACTTAAATCAAAGTTTGTGACATCGACATTTCGTAAAGATGCATTAGTATATATAAATATAGACGATGTATTCTTCGGAAAGAAATGTAATACAGCAATAGGATAGTCACATATGTACAATTAAAATATAAGGACGAAACACATACCATCTCTTGCTTACAAGTCGTAATATTGCTTTGATCTTTGATCAAAGTATTTTACGCGTTGTGCTTTATAATTGCATTTCGCATGCTTCGCTGCATTTAATGTCATCGTACAATACTGCTTTAATTAAAGAATTCTTCGTAGAATATTAATTATCGTGGCGAGAAAGAGAGAGTGCGTCTTGACGCTTGCGACTTTGAATCGACTTTGACCTCTAGACGGCGCTGGAATGTGGTAGGCGGCGCGTCACAGGTCACGTGACAGGCGTGGAGAGAGAGGGGGGAGGGAACGTATAGTGAGGAACAGCTGCCCCCCCCCCAACGCCCCATCACCATTCTCTACTACACACTACACAACAAAACGAGTAACACCTCTTTTTCCGATTTTTTCGAAAAATCTTATCAAATTTTCTTTTCAAAATTTCCTTATCAAAAATTTTCTTTTCAAAATTCTTATCAAAAAATTTCATTTTAAAATTTTCTTATCGAAAATATATGTGTAACAATATCATCTACATATTCTACATATGTGTGTGTGAAAATATTTTAATACATAGAAAAAAATCGTGCACAACTGAGTAATGATTCATCAATAGTCGAAAAAAGATTTGTCATTTTAATTTGCGAAATGGATGTTGGATGTGTTTAAAGATGGTATAAGAAAGTGTCAGAGGGCTGTTTTTATTATATGACAAAATAAAAAATATAATTCTGAAAATAATACGATTCTGAACGCACACACATATATATATATATGTAATTTATACAAATCTTTCTACAAATTGTCAAACATCTTTGAGAAATTTCCAATGTTATATTTTCAGTGTTTCTATAACATGAATTGTTAATCAAATATTTTTAAAGAAAACTTAAAGAAATAGAATATAATTTAAAAGTAGAGAAAAGCATAAATATATCGATTTTAAACATTATATTGATGAAAACATTTCTAGGGGAGTGAAGAGATAGGAATTTACAAATAAACTGATGAAACTTGGCTTTTTTATAGATGATGAAACACTTCTGTCATCTATAATCACTTAACAGAGTATCCGATACATCTATACATAAACTATATATATTAGCAGGAGACTAATTCAAAATAGATCAAGTGGAGGAGTTTCCGCCCACAGCTTTTCCTTCTCACCATTCTTATATTGACGCCTTCTCTCTTGATGCATCATTTCTATACGCCGTATTCTCTTGTTTCTCATCGCACATTCATACATATCCTCTAATATCAATCTGCATTGTTTTTGACCTCTGTGACCACCATATGCTTCCATGCAATCAACATATTGCAACTCGTATTGTGCACACTCTTTGAGGAATTGGAGATTTCGTACATGAGCCACGAAATCTGTAGGGGGTCCCTTAAGTATAGGTGAAGCATATCTCAATCCAGTAATATGATCGTGATCAAGCATGATGTACCTGAAAAGAACATTTATAAGAAATACATGACATATACAAATATCTTTGATATAATTGTTATAAATAAATATGTTTTCTTGAATCAAGAAGCTGAATAAAGTTCCAAGATACAAAATTTTGATGGCAACTCAATATTTCTTTGAACAGTAATGCATAATTATGTCTTAATGAAAGATATACATACTACTCGACATACACAATATCATATCTTGGATATAATTGTTATAAATAAATATATTCTCTTGAATCAAGAAACTGAATAAAGTTCTAAGATACACAGTTTTGATTACAACTCAGTATTTCTTTGAACAGTAATCCATAATTATAATGACTTAATGAAAGATACCAGAAAAGATAAACATGGTTCTTATCACGCAAAATAAGATATAAACTATACAATAATGAGCGTTTCTATCGCGTATGTAAAAACGAGGATCCGTACAATATTACTTATAATTGTTACAAAACCTGATGTCTCAATTATTTATATTTTTAATCCCTTGAATCAATTGCGTTATATAATTATCGATGATAGTTTTACGCTAACCATAGATGCTACGTATCTAATAGATACACATTCCTTCTAGTACTGCAAACACTTCAAAGAATTCAAACGCGACAAAGACATCTTCTTCAAGGGTTTCGTTCCACTTGACGCTTCTTTTGTTTCGAGATGTTCGACGGACCAATCCGAGAGCGAGGAATCATGCGCTCCGAAATCGCGCGCTCTGATTGGTCAATCAAATATGTCAAGTGTCGCATTTGACGTATCGAATAAGCACTGATTGGTCGACCGTCACTCATGTCCCATTCAAGTGTCGATCGTCGCCGGTTTTTCTTTCCTATTAATTAAAATATCGTATTACACAGATAGCCCGCGTTGACTTATGCGGATGCGGATTTGTATTTCTAGGAGAGCACAATGCGCAGTGAAGTCGCGTCAGTTCAGATTTTCAGATCGAGAGCAATTGATGAGAATAATTGGTGAATCTCCATCTCGTCTCTCGTGTCTGTACGCGATCTTTCTTGTTCTCGTTGCTTTGAGGAATAATGCAGAAAGTGGGTAAATTGAACTCGTCGATTGATATCATTCCGCTGCAAGGATCGAGTGGTGATTACAGACCGAGATACCTGGATAATAAGCATAGAATGGACCAGAGATGCTTTCGGGATCAGTCGTTAATCGACCGCATGCAAACGGTAATGCATTCACGCGAGGTTATTCATGTCGATTCCTTTCACGTTGTATCTACATTGACGAAATCATGATATAAATATATGCATGTGTGACAGAACGTAATCATTGATTGATTCTGGTTTTTTTTTTTAGAAAATCAACTTTTATACTATTATTACTATTATTAACTTATATACTAATATTATTATTAACTTTTATACTATTAACTATATTTGTATTTAATTTTACATGTTTTTTTCACAGTATATGCATGAAAATGAAAATAAAGTATACATTGATGTCAATGAGATGGCAGATGCCTTACAAAGACGATACAGAGATTATCGTCATAAGAAGCGTGCTGCATTTCGTGGGATGGTACGTAAGGCTTACGATGAGCTTACAGAGTTATTTTCGAGAAAGCCTTCAACACGCGAACCTACTTTTGACGACGACGATTTTGAGGATGTTGATGTTGAGGTATTTAGATACATTGCTTTTGAATGTATTAGATCAAGGGTAATATTTTTAACAAAACTTATTCGATTGCAGTCAGAGATGCAACACACTTCGTTAGGTGACATGCTGATACATATGTATAAGAAACAGAATGGAAATTCAAGTGATAAAGAATTGATAGATATTAGTAGCGATGATGAGGTATCCTCTAAGGATGAATCTAAGACTGGTAAAGACACAAAGGCATTGAATATATGTAGTGTAGTTGATGAATCTTTGCACACACCTTCGACAGTTACTTCAAAATCAAAACCAGCTACTTCAAAGCCAGGAACACCTACCTCAAAACCTGAAGCATCTGTTTCAAAGCCAGACATGCCTGCTTTAGAAATACCTATTTCAAAATCAGAAACACTTACTACAAAATCAGAAACTGTAAAATCAAAAGCAGTATGTATATTTGTATATTTTAGATTGCTAATTTATGGGATAAATGGATTGAAAGATAAAATATGGAGTTATTATATTATTTATCACATTTCAGTCTGTGAATGAGGTCACAAAACAGCCACTAGTAGAATCTACAAGAAAACGACAAAGAGATAAGGAAAATATGGATAATGGACCGTTTTCATTTGCGAAAAAAGCAAGAACTATACCTGTTGTAGAACCAAAAGTTACATTTTCTGATGTAGGAGGTAATGACAAAATTTTGAAAACTGTCTGCAAATTACTAGCCCACATGAAACATCCCGAAATCTTCAAACAACTTGGTATATCTCCACCAAGGGGATTTTTACTTCATGGACCACCTGGATGTGGAAAAACATTACTGGCATATGCTGTTGCAGGGGTAAGATAATATTTAACTCTAGAAAACATCTAACATATACATATACTACAATAAAAATATTCATTTAGAATTATTATAATGAACAGAACAATCAATACATTTATGATATTCTATAAATAATTGTAAAAGTTCTATTTTCGTCTATGCTTTTTTTTTATTTTTATATAAAAGTAGTTCTCTCTTATGATTGATGAATTCTTATGATATTTTGTGTTTTTTATATTAGGAATTAAACGTACCTCTACTAAAAGTAGCAGGACCAGAACTTGTGGCTGGAGTATCTGGCGAGAGTGAAGCTCGTATTAGAGACTTATTTGAGCAAGCTTTAGCTCTTGCACCATGCATCGTTTTTTTAGATGAAATTGATGCTGTTGCACCTCATAGAGCTGCAGTTCAAAGAGAGATGGAAAGGAGAATTGTTGCACAATTATTATCAAGCTTAGATGGTAAAATGTTATTAATTGATGTCATAGCATATTTTTTATATTTTATATGCCAATCTTTATGAAACAATTTTATTTTTTTATTTCTATTAGAATTGAGTCTGAAGGAAAATGGAGATAGAGTATTGGTGATTGGTGCAACAAATCGACCTGATTCATTAGATCCTGCTTTAAGAAGAGCAGGACGTTTTGATCGTGAAGTGTGTCTGGGAATACCAGATAGAGAAGCAAGAGCTAAGATTTTAGCAATACATACTGAAAATGTTGTACTAGCTCCTAATATTAGTCTGTCGACAATAGCTTCCCTCACCCCAGGTTTTGTAGGTGCAGACCTGGCGGCCTTAATCAGAGAAGCTGCTATGGCTGCTGTAGATAGGTAAATCTTTAAAAATAATATATGATATAATAATAATAAAAGTAATATACCTAATATATATATGTGTGTATATATTGTATATATGTATATGTATGTATGTATAATGTAAATATATAAAACTTATAGAGTATTCGAGGATGTAAACAGATCAAAACAGACAGAAAAATTGGCAGAAATAACCCAAACTGATAAGCAACTTGCTAAAGAAACACTGACTTCTGAAAACACGGAAAATTTAATTGATACTAATGTTCCAACAGAAGCATCTACTATGATAAAATCGTCTAATGCAATAGAAAACACTTCTACACAGTTGAGAGACTCACCTAAAAATTCAACCCCGGAAACTGCCGAAATGGATATAATACAGGAAAATTCAGCAGATTTTTCAAATTTACTGGCTTGGCTACGTAGCGAACCTCCACTTTCCCCAGAGCGCCTTTCGACCTTGTGTATTGAGCATGGTGATTTTGAAACTGCTTTACGTGTAGTTCAACCTTCAGCAAAAAGGGAAGGATTTGCAACAGTTCCTGATGTAACATGGGATGATGTTGGTTCACTGCAAGATATACGTCAGGAATTACAAATGGCGATTCTTGTAAATATTAAATTTTATCTGTGATATTTTATACCGTTTAAAGTCAGGACGATTAGTAGCAGCCATGAGAAATATTCCTTGTCAGGACGTTTATTTCTTACGAACAGTTGTACTTTTTTTAGTATTGAATTTTAGCATATATATTTAAATATAATTATTTATTGCAGGCCCCTGTTAAGCATACAGAACACTTTAATGCATTAGGTTTAAATGCTGCTAGCGGAGTATTATTATGCGGACCACCTGGTTGTGGAAAAACATTGTTGGCTAAAGCTATTGCCAATGAAGCTGGAATTAATTTTATTTCTGTTAAAGGACCTGAACTTTTGAATATGGTAAGTTTATCATATTAAGGAAAATGTAGGGAGAATAAAGTCTAATAATTTTATTTTATATTTTTAGTATGTTGGTGAAAGTGAGAGAGCAGTTCGTCAATGTTTCTTAAGAGCAAAAAATTCGATGCCATGTGTCATATTTTTCGACGAAATAGATGCGTTATGTCCTAAAAGAACAGAAGGCGATAATTCCGCAACATCACGTATCGTGAATCAAATGCTTACGGAAATGGATGGTGTAGAGAGTCGACAAGGAGTATTTCTTATGGCTGCTACTAATCGCCCTGACATTATAGATCCAGCTGTTTTGCGACCAGGAAGACTGGACAAAATTTTATACGTTGGTCTCCCGACAGCTTCAGATCGTGTTGATATTTTACGTGCAGTAACTAAGGTATTTATGGAATTTATTCATATGTGTGTGTTTAAATATACAAAGAAATATTTTTCTGTATAAAATGCTTTATATATTCTTTTTTAAGACTCATAGATATAGGTATATATATATATATATATATAATAAGTCATAATTTCTAGAACGCAACAAAACCAAAACTCGCTGCAGACGTTGATTTAAATCAAGTTGGATATAATGACAAGTGTGAGGGTTTTACTGGTGCAGATTTGGCAGCTTTGATAAAGGAAGCCGGCATGGAAGCATTGAAGGAAATAATAGCTGGTTATGGACAATCAGAAATTTCCATGCAGCACATTTACAGGGCATTTGATAAAGTGCAACCATCTGTTCGCGAGAAGGTATTTAGTTATTTGTTTCAACGGATTTAATATATAATAACAAAAATAATAGAAATAATATTTACTGTACAGGATATTAAATACTACGAAAAATTTAGTAAGCTATATTCAATTAAAAAAAATTCTGAAGTTATGCCAATGGAAACACCAATAGATGCACCAATTGTTGATGTGGTCATGGAACCAATGGAAACATGAAGTACAATTATTAGAAGTTTATAAAAATTACTATAATAATTGCAATTCTTCCATTACCAAACATTTTTTTAATAGAAGAAACGTCAGGTATTTCTTTAATGATAGTTTAGATTCCACATGTTTATTTGTAAATGGAAGTAGCTGTAATGTTTAATGAAATAACAATAATGTTTTAAAATTGCACGATAGTGTAAGACAGATAGTTGCATTATGCAGTTATTTTCTAGATATATAAATATAGAAATCATATACTCGTTGTATGACTTTAATGTAATAAGGATCCTTGATAAAATTTTCAATAAAAGTTTACGTTTAATAACATACTCTTTTTATTACATGTGTAAATTTAATCATACATAAACACACATATAGACATAAAAGCAAAGGTATTTAAAGATAGAATAAAAATTTCTCGTTATCTTTCTTCAATTTATTTTGCATATTAAATATTCTTTAATAACAATACGAATCATACATTCTTTGTTTATTCAATATTTGATTCATAGCAATTCAGTCTATTTGATTAAAAATAGGAAACAGGTGCCAAACAATTATAAAAAATAGGTTAAGGTTATTGATATCTTTGTCGCATAAATAAATCATTTTAAATAAAAATTATAGACTAAAACTTACTAAATTGAAAAGTACCCTAACCATTTATATAGACATATATATGAAAGAATTATTATATAATGCATAATATGGTCTATGTATGTAAAAAATTATTTGTTAGTAATTTTCTGTGGTAATAGTTGCAGTTGCATTCAGAATTATAACATTTATATAATGATATGATTTAAAATATACTACGATTTATACAATTGATTTATATAATTAATTTTATTTATGCCTTCCCCTTTTCACGATTTTTTATAATCCAAGGATGTGTAAGAACGCCATCCATATTCAATCTTTTTCAGGATCAATAACTATTAGCTGAAATATAATTTATTAAAAATTAAATTCTAAAATAATATATATTGTTACGTCCCTGGATTTGCATCCCCTGTGCAACTTCAGGGACGTAACAATATATATTATTTTAGAATTTAATTTTTAGTTGCACAGTAGATGCAAATCCAGGGACGTAACAATATTATTGATATTTATAAATTGTATTTACTAAACTTACTTTTGAAATTAAATCTCTTGCCTCTTCACTAACAAAACTTGGAAATGTGTATCGTAATTTTTTAATATTTGCATAAGTTTCATCATTAGTTGTTGCAAAGAAAGGAGGTTTACCAACTAAGAATTCATAACATAATACTCCAACACTCCAATAGTCAACTGTGTGATTATGTGTTTTGCCAGATACCATTTCAGGTGGTAAATAATCTAAAGTGCCACATAAAGTGTTTCGTCGAGAAGAAGGAGCATGTACAGACCATCCAAAATCAGCTACTTTTAATTCACCATTCAATCCCAGGAGTAAATTTTCTGGTTTAATATCACGATGTATAACGCCCTTACTATGACAATATTTTAATGCATCTGCTAATTGAGCTATATAATTCGCTGTTCTAAAAGTAAATATATAAACTTGATTAATTTTAATTGTTTCTATGAAATAACTTTTCTGTAAAACTTCCAAGTAAACACTTACCTTACTTCATCAAATCGTTTATTGGGTTGTTTATTTAATTCTTTATAAAGCTCTCCTCTTGGTGCAAATTCTAATATCAAATAAATTCTCTTGTCGTCATAAAAATATGCATACATCCTTAAAATATTTGGATGCCTGTGAAAAATGAGATTTATATGTAAAATTAATTATTTTTTGTAATTCTAACAAGTGTGCATATATATAGCTTTTAATATAATAGATAATAAAAGTAATACCTTAAATGAGTTTGAATTTCTATTTCCCTTATTACTTGATGTGTAATGTTTGCATCTGATATTTGTGATCTAAAGAGCACCTTCATGGCTACTATAAATCTCGTCCTCTTTTCTCTGGCTAAATACACATTACCAAATTTTCCTTTGCCCAAAGGTCGACCAATATCAAAATCTCCTAACACCCATTTCAGTTCTTTTGATTTTCCTTATTTGTTTTAGCTGTATCTGAACTGGAGACTTTCTGGACATCTTTACATTTGTTATCCCTTACTTCTTCATTATTAGATTTTTGTTGGTCTTGTGTAGAGATTGATTTAGGTATTGTTGCTAACTTGGGCGGTGGTATTGATTCTTCAGCTTTTTTCACATTTTTTTCTAGGTCTGTAGTACTTGTTGAACTACTTTTACATGTTTCTGTCATTTTTTGCTCGTCATCATTTTTTATATTTTTTACATTATCTGTTAGAGCTTTAGAAATATGTAAACCCTTAAAATTACTGACTTTCAATGCTTGTGTAGTTAACTGGTGTGTCTTATTTTCTCCAGATTTCTTCACAATATCATTTTTTTCTAGGTCTGTAGTTTTTACCGAGCTAGTTTCATACGTTTGTGTTATCGTTTTCTTGTCATCCTCTCTTATATTTTTGACATTATCTGTTGGAGCTTTAGAAATACACAAATCCTTAAAACTGCCGACTTTCAATGCGTATGTTGTTAACTGTGTGTTATTTTCTTTGTCCATTTTAAGTTTTCTGTCTAGTTTTCACAGTCGATACTTTTCAATCCCAAATCCTTGTAATAAAGATAAAGCAAATAATACTGTCATATGCTTAAGTTTTAAACGTCAATTTTTTTATATGTACAACTTTGATAATATCATACATACACACAAGATTTATATCTACTTTTAAATAATAAGATACTCTATTTTTCATATAAATGATTACCAAAGAATTCAATTAAAAAAATTATCTAAGAATAAAAGTATACAATCCTTACAAAGTGCTTACGTTTAACGAAATAATAGTGTCAAAAGTTGGACAGCTCTGCAACTTCCTCTCAAACTCAAACGGTTTTTCGAAATAAAATGCCTTTCGTCGATTGGCCGATACGAAACGTCATATTTAACAACAAAAATGTAGATGGAGAACTCGAATAGAAATGCATCGCGTTTTATTGGACAAAATAACAATATGGCGCAGCCAATTAGATCGCGAATCGCCTTTACTTAAAGCTGTTCTGATTAGTTACTCTGTAACTATGAATCCTAAAGTGAGAGAAAGAAAGAATTCGTAAACCATAATTTATTAATTACTTAATATTTATTAATATCTTAATATTTATCAAGAACTTACATCTTTATTCAAGAACATGCAATCCATTATTTTGATTGTAGGAACAAATATCACATAATAATCTAATAATTGTATTTATGTAACATCCACAATACACATAATTTTGTTAATAAAAAATCAGGAAATAATTTACTGCCACAATAAGCTGAAAAAAGAACAAAATGTTAGAAAATATGTTTTTAAAAGAAAAATTGAAGAAAATCGTTTTTGCAGAAAGATTTTATCGCAGTTACTTACTTCATAACACTTAATTCAGGCATGCCTGGGTCTGCACCTTTCCTGAATCCTAAAAATTAAATTATTTTTTTTTAATTTTCAATATTTTATTATAAATTTGAGATATTTGATGTTATATGAAGTTTAAAATTCTAACCTAAGAAGAGGACGGCGGGAATAAAACCCCATTGAAACACAAATTTGCTCACATCCATAACAATGACTATTCTCTGTTTCGTAGTCGGATTCAAACTCATTTTGATGCTTCCTTGTTTCCTTATTATTACGATTGCTATTTAGCGTATTCGTGCTAAATAATTCTCGTGAAATTCGTATCTTGCAATAAGAAGCACCTGATCAACGAGGTTGACTGAAGAACTACGACGACCTCTCATGTAGAATCGTGAACTATCCTTTATTTATCTATTATACATATAAAAAATACATACATTATAATATTTAAACAAAATTAACGACCCAACTGGCATAAAAATATCTTTATTATTACTAAGACATATTATTAAATCAAGACAACGTTTCGACCCTTATTTTGGGTCCTTATCAAGTCTACAAAAAAATACACTAATTAAGGATTATTTAATCATGGAACATCAATTTTTATATAATAATCATTAAATATAAACATAATTGCAATTTAAGCTTGACAATACATTGATAGTTTAATAATTTCAACATACCTGATATAAAAATTAAATTTAACTAATCCTTAATTAGTGTATTTTTTTGTAGATTTGATAAGGACCCAAGGGTCCAAACGTTGTCTCAATTTAATGTCTTAGTAATAATAAAGATATTTTTATGCCAGTTGGGTCGTTAATTTTGTTTAGTTATTTTATCATTCACTGGCAAGACAAAGATTTACTGATTATATTATTATATTTGTTAATTGATAAATTTTACTTAATCGTGCTGAGAAAATATATACAAATAAGTTGTTTAGAAGAATCAAAATAAAAATTTCACTTTATTGTTATAAAATGGGAAATGACAAAATAAATTATTGTATTGATAATAAAGTAAATCTAATTTTATATACATTTTACACTGATATTAATGATCTATTATAATAAGTTCATCAATGCCCCAATCTTCATAACTGTTATCAGGCAGATAACGACGTATGATTATGGGAATTTTTCTCTGCTTTAACTCCTTCATCGCAATTTGCAGTGGATCAGTTTCCCCTTCTAATTCTACCATTACAGGAGCGCACATTGCAATTTGAAGTGCTCTTGTGCCTAAAACTCTTGCCCTTTCGTATCTAAAACAAATTTTATATATTATTAAAGTAGTTCATATTTTCATTCTATGTGTGTGTGAGAATAGTATATTATAAATAGTAAACTACATACTTTGTCATATATCTTGTTGTTATCCTTTTTGATTTTTGAACACCAGCGGTAGCTTCATTAGCATTCATCAATTCGATATTTTCACCATCATCTTCCTGGGGTTCTAATTCGATATTGTCCTCGTCATCTACATCATCAAAATCATCCGCAACCCTACAAATAATAACCAGAACAATAATTACATATAAACTATATCGAAAGATTATTAACCTCCTTGTATTTAATTTATACAATTAACAAATTATGTACAAAATGAAGAATGTCACAAATTATAAAAAAAATGTGACTAATTAATAATAATAAAATGCAACATAACCTATAAAGCTGTACAATCTTACACATATACTCTGACATGCATATTTATATTTTACACACATCAGAGAAATTGCGTATACTTACTCGTCTCCGTCGAAATCATCAGCCATTATTTACAAGCTTTTTTTACAAGTATATATCGTTATATATTCTCAATTTTCGCGTACAAAACAACTCCACGCTTGACAGAAAGCTCTATTTTTTCTGATAACAAATATTTTTAGCTCAGGTAGTAATACGGAAGAAGACCGAGGATTAACCAATCAGAGAGAGGCTTTCCTTCGGCGCAACCAATCACAAGCGTTTGTCAAGTTCGCTGATGCCGGCGGTGTTGAAAGCGTCTTTCCTTACCGGATAGAGGTTATGTTCGTTGCGTGTATCGTAAAAGTTACAAGAATAAATGTTCATGTAGCCGTCAAATAGACATATACTCTCTTTCCTTGAGTTATTTTTGTAAGGAAGTCATTGGGTGAGTATTCGATCATTCATGGCTAATACAATATTTAAAATACATTGCTGCAAATATTTTCCATACGCGCAATATTTAATAATTTTAAGAGAAGAAATGATAGAAAAATCACACACAAAATATTACGAATATCATTTAATATTTAATATTTGTTATTATATATATATTTTTTTAATACTCTATTATTTAATCTAATAGTTATATTTAATATATAGTTATATTTAACATATAGTATATATTATTTAATATTTATGTGACAAATAATAAATTTGTGTATCGCATCTTTTATAAATTCTTATCCTTCCGAAGAAATCCTACAATCTTCCAAGATGTCTGGAGGTATGCTCTACGGTGGAGATGAGATAGGAGCATTGGTATTCGATTTGGGCCATCATTCTTTGAGAGTGGGCTATGCTCAGGAAGATACCCCAAAGGCAGAGATCCCAGCTGTTGTTGGTATCGGAGAGGATGCTAATGGTACAGCTACTAAAAATGAACCTATGGACATTGATGATAAGAAGCCTGATAGCAATATCACACAGAGTGGGACCAAATATTATATTGACACCACGATTCTTCATGTTCCACGGAAAAATATGGAGATTGCAAGTTATATGAAAGATGGCATGATTGAAGATTGGGATCATTTTGAAAAGGTAGGAAATTAGTGATTTAATGTATAATTCAAGTGTTAGATGCGTTATTATATGTTTAATATTAAAAATATTCTTAGTTATGTGTGTATGTATGTATTTCTAGGTTTTAGATTATACATATTCAAAAATAATTCAATCCGATTCCGAATATCATCCTGTATTATTCTCTGAATCACCGTGGAATGTACGCAGCAAGAGGGAGAAACTGACTGAGCTAATGTTTGAAAAATACAATGTGCCAGCTTATTTTCTTGTGAAGAATGCAGTTTTAGCTGCATTTGCAAATGGCAGAGCAACTGGTATTGTTGTTGATAGCGGTGCTACACATACATCAGCGGTACCTGTGCAAGATGGATTTGTATTGACACAAGCTACTGTTAAATCTCCTCTCGGCGGAGATTACATAAGTATGCAGTGCAGACAGTTCTTACAGGTATACAAATATGCATATTTAAACGCTTTTCAAATTTTATTTATTCTTACCTCAATTAAATGCAGGACAACGATATCGATTTATCTCCCCCTTATATGGTGGGTAGCAAAGAAGTAGTCAAGGATCATGATAAACCACGATGGGTTAAAAAGAAAGGTTTGCCTGAAGTCACTAAGTCTTGGCATAATTATATGGTGAAGAAGGTAATTCAGGATTTTCAAGCCACAGTTCTCCAAGTATCAGAAACAGCGTTCGATGAAAAATTGTTTCTACAATTCCTGCGGTACAATATGAATTCCCTACTGGATATCATCAAGTATGCATCTTAAATGTTTCTTTAATGACTATATATATATATATATATATATATATCGTTTGGTTAATAAAACATGAGGTAACTAAAACAAACATTTTAAAGGACTTTGGAAGTGAAAGATTTCGAATACCAGAAGCATTATTTGATCCTAGTATGGTACAGACGCGTCAAGGTATGGCCATTGGTAATGCTATGTTAGGAGTGGGCCACATCGTCACGACCAGCGTTGGCATGTGCGATGTCGATGTACGACCAGCGCTTTATGGAAGTGTTGTGGTAACCGGTGGCAACTCGTTTATTCAGGTACAATTTTAATTAAATAGGATATTAGATACAAATACTTTATTAGATATAAATTTTAATAATTTATTAGATATAAATTAAATGTAAAAATTATTTTGTTCTTACATATATTAATAGATTATTGTACATTCATATAGGGTTTTACAGAGCGCTTGAATAGAGATTTATCCCTGAGAATACCTTCTAGCATGCGCCTCAAATTGATCAGTGCAAATGGTTGCGCGGAAAGAAGATTCGGGGCTTGGATAGGTGGTTCGATATTAGCTTCGATCGGTACTTTCCAACAAATGTGGATCTCCAGTCAGGAATATGAAGAGAGTGGAAAGAGTCAAGTAGAAAGAAAATGTCCTTAAACCGCGATACTTTATTGTATGTTTATATCGAGTCGTATTAAAGCGTCAGATTTGTACAGAGAAACATTGCACAGAAAGTGAGTACAATTTTGGGGACACAAAATCTACATTTTATGATATTGTGTGTGCATTGTTTGATTATGCAAATATGAGACTATAAATCATCTTTTTACATAAAACGACTTTTATAACGTTATACTATGATAACAAATATACTTGTCATGTTATCAAATTATAATATCTCTAGCACTCGATACATATAGATAAATATAATATAAATGACATAACACTGTTCTGAATTATGCTGTAGGCATGAAATGGAAGAATCATTATTATTTATTGCTGATATGCTCTATGAAAAAATGAAAACTTGTGCCGTATAAAATGACGAAATTTTGTAAATTGTAATAAGATTTTTTATAAAACTTACCACATGGCAAAAGTTCTGTCTTCAAAATAAAAACTCATTATCTGTAGTTCTTTCAATTTCACTACACTTACACGATATTCTGTCAGTCTTACTGCCAATAGTGTTATGTGCATCACACTTGAAATTGTGGACATTTGAACCCTTTATAACAAATGCTATTATAAGAAAGGGAATAAAGAGGAGACATTCACTTGGAACTTACAACTTCCCTTCTATAATATATACATGTATTTTGCATTGAAATAATAAATAGGTATAAGACGGAAGTACAAAGGAAAAGGAATTTTCTCTTTTCAAATGCCTTAATTAGTGATTGCTCAAAGAAGCATCATTCATTAAACTGCATAAATAAAGAGAACATACTAAAGAAGAGGTCTTAAAGTACAATTTGTCTTTATATATCTACAATAATGAAAGATGCTGATCTAGTAAATTAGCTATTATTAAATGTGAAATATTAATGAATATAGGGTAGTTATAAAGCCTATTCATGTCGTTTCATGTCTTTCGTTTTTGTGTAGGTCTTCAATACAATCACCTATTAATTGGCTCAGTACTAATGTCAGTAGTAATGTCTGCTAATTATCTGAACATTTAAGAAAGCTAAAAAATATAGTGCAATTTGTGAAAGATCGATATGTTTTCAAATATCGAAAAATGTATAATGTTTGTGGATCTCTCTAATATTGTTTCTATCGATATTAACTAACGTAGATGTCTGATATATAAAGTTCGTAAATACAACTTCTTTCGAAATTTTATTTCTGATTATAAATAATTTTAAGTAAGATGGAGAGAGATATAAATAATTATGTATGTATTAATAAACAAGTTTTAAAGTTTGTTGGCCTTTATCCAACAAATATTATGAGATATATCATATGTTTAGTGTTTATGTTTACCATTGTTATACCGCAAACAATGCAAATTTATCAAAATTGGAACGATTTGGCTATAGTATTGGAAACGAGGTATAGTGTGTTTACGATTTTCCATTACTGACGTAAAAGTAAATTTTACACCTACATTGCAATTTGGATTATGATTTAAAGAGACAAATTAAAATAATCTTATTTAATTTTCAATTTTTTAGTTCAGTATTGTTCACTATCTTACTTGCCATATTAAAATCATTGGTTTGGATAAGCAACAGAAGAAAAATGGATTTTTTTATAGAATATATGTTAACAGATTATTGGGAAATAATGACGGCATATGTTTCGAAACATACAAATGTATATGCAATGTAAATTTTTTTTTTCAAATTACGTATACACATATATTGTACTTATATGTGGTATAACACACGTGTATTATATTATTTATGTGTGTACTATATTATTTATTCCTATTTATTATTTATAGATATGTGAGAAAAGGATTTATATTTACTAAAGGATATTTATTCTTAATTTGTAATTCTTTAGCATTTTTCTTTAGTCTACCTATAATTGAAATATTTGTTACTATAATCAAAAATACCAACGATAATAACACAACAAAGCATTTTCCATTTATAGCTTTATATCCAGATAATTATTATAATTTTCCGATGTATGAGGTAAGAAATTTTTTTCCAATTTATCAAAACTATAAAAATATGTGACAATATCCTATTTTAATTATATAGATTATATATCTCTCGCAAATGATAGCAACAAGCTTATGTGGTCTTGTTATTCTGGGAACTGATACTTTAATTGCAACAGCACTATTTCATACATGTGGTCAATTTAAAGTACTTCATAAAAAGATAGAAAATATTAACATTGAAATTGATTACGTTAGTATTTCTCTCATAAGTCTTTCATATTATTGTATTATAATTAAACATATCTTTGGAACAGATATTATTGTGTAAGCATATTAAAAATGTTTTCTCTTATTCCCAGATAAAACATGCATACACTGAAGAAAGTATTGTGCAAAATATTAAATTACAAATAATAGCTATTATTAAACATCATCATATAGTTCTTTGGTAATAACTTTAAATGAAACAAATATATTATTCTGATATATATAATTAAAAAATAAAATATCACAATATTATATCTAGGTTTTGTGATTATATGGAAACAATTTTTAGTTCAATGTTATTTCTACAAACATTAGCTAGTAGTCTCATAATGTGTCTAGTAGGTTTCCAAATTGCAACTGCAAATATAACAGCAAGTACAATCTCTAAATTTGTTAAATACATCTCATATTTAATCATGGCACTTTTTCAATTACTGCTTTTTTGCATTCCTGGTGATGCTCTGATATACGAGGTATATGGATAAATAAAAGTAAACTAAAATTATAATATCTTATACTTACCTTATAAAAATGATATATATAGATATTTTTTATATCACAGAGTTCTATAATAAGTAAAATCATGTATAGTACTTGTTGGTATGAATTACCAATTTCATTTAAAACTGAGATATGTTTACTTATGTTGCGTAGTCAAAAATCTAATAAGATTACCGCAGGAAAAATTTATGTAATGAATTTGGAGAATTTTAATGCGGTAAGAAGAAATTATCACATTATATTAAAAAATGTATGAAAATTGCGAGATTTTTATATGTAAACAAAAAATCTTTTATTTATCTAATTTACAGGTGTTGAGCACTGCTATCTCATATTTTATGCTACTTCGAAGTTTTAATTTAGATGAAACTAACGTCCAATTATAATTGAATGAAGTTGCATGATTGCATAATAGATTATATATATTAACTAAGAATTATAATATTTAGAAACAATAGTGATAATAATTCAAACTTATAAATATATAAAAAGTTTGACAATGTTGCATAATACTGACTAGTACAATACTGTACATTTTTTTTACTTTACATTATTCTATTCTATTATTCTATCTATTTATATAAAATATTGTAAGTATTCCTGATATTCTATTCTACTTTGTTATAAATACGCACCCCAGCCATAATACATTTGGCACAGATTATCTATATTTGTTGCTTCTAAAATCAAATGATTAGTTTGTCCTTCAACACTAAGATGTAATGCAATATTTTCTGCCTTTCTTCCAGAATAACGTATCAGGCCTTTTAATCGTTGTTCAATGTTCTTTATATGTTCTACAGCCTAAAACAAAATAAAATAAAAAATTAATATATTGTTTTTATTCCTTTTTGCACAATTTATTAATATTAGAGAAGAATATTTTATTATACTTTTTCATTTGTTTTTTCAGCCGCATCACCAGGCTGATTTTTATTCCAACTGACAAGAGGATCATAAACGAAAGGTGTGAGTACACTCAGTAATGTGCTCGATTCCTGTCGAAGTACTCGCATGGTAATTTGACAAGCGCGTCTAAATGGTCCTTCAATTTTAAGAGGACCCATAGCGTTTACCATATTATGTGTCAAGCGAAATGGTACGCGTTCAGGCCAGTCGAAAAATTCGCCCTAAGAATATATATTATTATATGTAGTACTTGATGGGACGAGATGTAACAATATGTCTATATATATATTATAATAAAAATATAGCATATAATAGAGATTTCTAATTATAAATTGATTTGTTTCGAACTTTCACATATAAGAACTTACCCTGTTAAATAAGCAATTAAAATCAACATGTACGCAATCTCCGCATTTGGAATCGAACAATATATTCTCCCCGTGACGATCTCCAAGTCCAAGTATGTATCCTACCATAGACATAACAGCGGTTGTCCTAATATATGCCGTACGAGCCTCGTACCTGTTTCAAAAGTTAAGTAATTAATGTCTATATATGTAAAAAATTGAAAAAATGAGAGTAAAATATATAAAATATATAAAATATATTTTAATGACATACCAGCCATATGGATCAGGAAACATGATGCGAAACCAATCGGCAAATACAGGAGGATGCCGCGGCAATAATTTCTCCAGAAACATTTTCTTTTTCTTTTCCAAAGGATCTTTTAATGCTAATAAAAGATTTGGACATGAAATAAAATAATATTGTTTTTTAAAATTAAATTAAAAAAAAATACTTTTAGTAATCATATTATCACGTTCATGACTTACCACATAACATCGTTTTAAGTTCCCTATTTGTACATGTAATGCCTTTCTCTGCGTACAAATTCAAAACAGTAGGTCGAAAACCAACCAAATTTGGTACCCATTCTATTAAACCACATTCTTCATTTAACGGCACTACACTCTATAAAATGAATACATAATTAATAATTTATTGAAATTATTAATTAATTATAATATTAATAATCCATCAAATTTGTATCGAATATGAGGGGCAAGTCTTACATATGTTCGTATATAAAGTCTCCTTTGTCGTGATTCTCGATCATTTTGAAGATATTTATTTACAATATCATTGAATTCCATCAATCTGAAGTCTTTGCGTAAATCGTCCTTTGGTTTGCACATGAACAGGTATTCTTTACCATCTGATCCTCTCAATGTAATTCGTCGTGGTCGTTGAAGTGATGGCATTATTACCACGTTTTCTTCTATTTTCGTGATATGTACCCATTTCCTGCGCATTTATAAAAAATAACGTGAAATAAAGCGCGTTGTAATAAAAGTAATGTTTTCATAATAATTGTAATATGTACAATAGGAATGGATTATGATTTTCCATTGAAGCATTCTTGGATGGAAGATGTAGTTGTCTGAATTTTGTTGTCGGCATCATAATTGCACTGAAATCCTTACTTGCGAGTAATCTCGGCAAATTTTTTGATAAATGATGCACTGTGGTATTTAATGTCCCCTGTAAAATAAGACGTATGTTACTATATTATACACATTGTATTAATTCTTGATACATCCATATATGCTGTTTCATTACTGACTCTAATATTCAACGTGTATTACAACTGAATAACAAAACTTACATCTGGTATTGTTTTATTAGATAGTTCGATCAATCTTTCCCAAAGTCTGTGAAAGTCTCTGATAAGCTTAAACATTATCGATGTTTTTAATTCTGCATGATTCAAGATTTCCTGACACCGTTTCTGTCGTGCTGGATATGAAGACTATAAAATTAACAAAAGAACAAGTTCCATATATTTTTATCTATCTCATAAAATAATGTCTTTGTGTAATATTAATATTAAAAAAATATACGTTAAAAACTGATGCCATCATCCATAAACAATGCTGAGGATATGCAGAAATTAATTTCACCAAAATTGTGCAAAGAGTATTTTGCACTTGTAGACATGGATGACAAATTCGCGATACAAGCTGGCTGAATGCCGTCAGCCACATGAACGTCGGTAATCTAGAATGATAGACCTCTACAATGCGAAAATTGATTATTATAATCATCGATTTATTATTTAAATCACTTTATTATTAATTTATAAACAAGTACCCATAATATGAGTCATCTTTACTAGACGATCTTGACGAAGTCTAACAATGTCTGGTGGATCGGAAGTAATGGTAGCACGAGAAGCATGATCCAACCAGATGGTCAACATCTTAGGCATTGAATGATGGATGTACTTGCAACCATATTGAAGCGATTTGCCATAAAAATTCATCATGTGCACTTGTAGATCTCTGTTAATAATAAGTATAATTTTGATTATAATTCTCATTTTAATAATATCACAACAATTAAGTTATATTGAATGAAGCAAACTTACTGCCTGTTTTTATCTTTGTCATCTTCAGACATTCTCTCAACAATAGTGTCATAATATTGAGCACATGATACCCAACTTTTTTCCCATCCTCTCCAGACTTCTATCGCTTCTTTATAATTAATGATACAACCGTCTGTATCAACATTGAGAGTTTCATCGTTATATTTTGCAAAAAGAAGCTTTGCCTATAAAATACAAACATAATAAAATAATTATAAATATATATTTTGGTAATTAATACATTTTGTTTTAGATGCTTTTGCATATTACTTACTTTTGCATATTGTTTTCTTTCTTCACTACAATCTCCTGAAGATAATTGCTTGTAATATTGTACTGGTTTGAACCAATTCAAAAAACTACGATTTAAAGTAATAAAAGCATCTTCTTGACAACCCTTTTGCCAATATAGTTGAGCTTGTTCTATATACAATGGTTGTGGTGGACATGAATCACTGGCTGTTAAAATATGCATATACGCTTGTTGGTGTAAGCCAGCTCTAATATAAAACGATTTAATACAATTAGTATTAGAAATATTTAATACAAAAAGTATATATTTAAAGTCTTACTTTCTGGCAATTTTGGCGCTTTTCAACCAAATTTTACCAATTTCTTGCTTGAGCATTGAATTCTCTGTATTGTGGATTTTTTGTTGTAACTGCACAGCTAAATCCAAAGTAGCTCTACGCATACTCAGGACAAACTCTAAACCGCGAGATGCCCTCAATAATTGTCCACGTTTTTCCCATTCTTCCAGCATTATTGGAAAACCTTCTGCATTGTTTAACATCATTGAAACTGCTTTATCAAATTCGTTCAATATATGTAATCTGAAAATGACAAATACATTTTGAAAAATTATAATGCATACATATATAAATGAGAAAAAAAATACATAAATTATTAAATTTTACTTCATGATATATGAGTAACTCTGTTGGTAAACTCCAGGTCGGGAAGCATCTTCCAATAACGATACTAAATTCTTCTTTAATGATAATAAATCTGGTTTGGTCCCTTTTATAAGATCATCTAGTAATACATGTTTTATATTGTTCTGCGAAGTTTCCTCAAATCGGGAGAAATGACCAAGCCTCCAAAAAGTTCATGTTCGGTTATAAGAGGCTCCAGTTCTGGTCTGTTAAAAGATAATTAAAAAATATTTGAATTCACTAATAATTTAACTGTACAAGTTTAATTTTATTATAATTATCACCTGTTACTTAATAGACCCTCAGATATGTGTTTGGCAGTAAACGGATGATCTAAATCAAGATAACATTGAATCATACCTTGCAAGTATGTATGTTTTAAATCTTTTTCTGCGCGAGCCTTTCGTAACACGTGGCTGCATCCTAAACAAATTGAGTATTATTAAATACATATTTAAGATATAATCTAATAAAATAAAATCACTAGTAGAAATATATCAAGGCTCTATAAATATTAAATATTAATTACAAATAAGAAAAGCCTAAGAGTCATAAGCAAAAAAATTAATTTTCGTTGGAAATGTATATAAGGAACATTCGCGTATGATTTTTAGGCTTTTCTTATTTGTAGCTAATATTTAAAATCACCAGTATTTCTTCAAACATACTACATTTACTTAAAATTTTTAAGCTTACCTGAAGTTGTCCATTGACTTCATGAGCTAAAACCAATTGTTGTAATGTAGGAGATTGATCCTGAGTTGCTAGAATACCGGATACTCCGTCGGGATCATCAAGTTGTGCATAAATTTTCTGTAATAAGGCATCTAGTTGAACAGAAGAATATGCTCATGGAATAGAAAAATATACTAAATTACACAAAATGTTACATACAGCGAGTAAACCACCTTCTGTGACTTCTGATAAACCTTTATTAGAAAAAGTCATATGTTGCTCTAGATACATCAGTGCCCGATGATATTCTCGTGATTCGTAACAACCTTTCGCCACAACCAGACTGTCCAATCCATCACAAAACTCTAAAAATATTAATAAAATAATTAATCATATTACAATCGACCTATATAGAAAATATAAAAACAATAAATAAGTATTGCTAATTACGCACTTTTTATTGCTTTATATCTGCTATCCTGCAGTGATCTTCGTTC